TGTTCGGTGAGATCACTTTCTTTGTCCTTTGATAAGATGGCTCGGGGTGGCCTTCTGCCTCGAGGCCTCTTTGTGTCTTTGTCTTTGCGTCTTTGTGCCTTTGCTCTTCCAGTAGTGGCTGTGGCGCGTTGTCTCACTCAGGTTTCTGTGTGGCTATCTGGCGGCACCCTGGGTTCGTCGCGGGGGGGGGGGATCGCCCCTCGATGCGTCAGTTCGATTCGGTCACTGTGGTTGGTCGTCGGTCCCCTCTTGGTGACCCGTGCGGCGGTCTTTCAGATGGTGGAGGGGACACAAAATGGCGCGGACGCCCGGTAGCGTTTCGGCTCCGTCGTGGAGGTGGGAGGGATAAGTACTTGTCCTGTTCTTTGCATCGTTTGAGCTGGTCGCGGTGACTAGCTCAAAAGTCATTGGCTCCCTCTAGGATGTCAGGGGGTGTCATAGGGTAACATAGCGTATCTCATTTATGTAGTGCAGGAGTACATTCTCGGGACTGGCGTGTCTGGCTGTCCCAAGCCACTGGGTCATCGAGTGGCGCGACGTTCTGTACGTCGTGGGGCGCGGTCTGCGTCCTTCTCCTCCCCGTATAGGGTCGAGGAACGGTTGTTGGTTTCCCCCGGAGGGTACTTGTCCCTTGAGCCGCGAAGAGGCCAACCGCCGGCACCATCAGTGGTGATGGTCCTTGTTCAAGGGCATCGCTGTTAACGTTGTCCTGGGGGGTGGGCAATTGCTCTACGTATATCGAGTCCATCTGCTGGAGGAGCGACGCATCCAAGACTCAAGGTCTGAGGCGCAACCGGACGCTGGACACAGCCCGCGCTAGGTGCGTGACGCGACGAGTGTTGCGAGATAGTGACTCCGCGCTCATAGTTTGCATCAGTTGGTGAACCAGTTTACACTTCTTCCGCAATCCTCAATGCCGCTATCACCTCCAGCGCTGCCATCCACCTTCCACGACGATCCGCCCTTCAAGTTTCTGCCTTGGAACGTTTATACCATAGACGCAGGCCTTGCGATGATGCTACGCTGTCGCTTCCAAAACCTACTTCCCGAGCCAAGAGCCGACGACCCCGACACCGCTGCTGTTTGTCGGATGTACGCGGAGAATTTGAAGCAGGAGATTGAAGCTCTCAGTATGAGGAAGAACGCTGTTCGAGACCGGGACCATGCGCTTGACAGCGAGATCGCGGAACGACAGATGCGACGCCACTTTATGCTATGCCGAATCTTCCCGATCAACGATTTGCCCAATGAGATACTCGTAGAGATCTTCCGCTTTGCATGCTGGCACCCTGGCGGTCCTTCCAACAGCACAAACCAGAGGCTGTGGTTGACCTGGGTATGCCGACGTTGGAGAGCCGTGGCCTTGACCGACATGACCATCTGGAATGACATATGCTTTCGGGATTCCTGGCCTTTCACTCGTTCGTTGGCTTGGTTGGAAAGAGCCGGTTCTGCACCCCTGGATCTCCGAATTTGCGAGCAACAGGCGGTCACACAGGCATCTCAACACGCGAGACTCGATGCTGCAAGGATGTCGAATCTCATGGATCGGATCATGACCAAGGTCGCGCAGATTCGAGTATTCATAGCATCCGTCGATGATTGGGACCCTGCGCTGATTATACTCGACCGGTTCAGGAAGACGAGTACCTGCCCTACTTTGTTGGAACGATTTGAACTTTACCGCGTAGGCAGACCCCTCGCGTGGATAGGACCCGGATACCAACCCGCCGAGCTTCGGCAGGCAATGCCTCTGTGCGGCGGTACTGCCCCGTCTTTGCGTCATCTAACTCTGGCTGGCATTCACGTAGACTGGACCGGCTCTTCTCTGCATAACTTGACCAGCTTGGATTTACGACGCATAGCACTCAACGCATCTCCCGACATCGCATGCTTTCGAATTATCCTTCGAAGCTCGCCAGAATTGCGCCAGTTAACTCTTTATGGCGCAGGTCCCCGGTGGCCTGACGAACCTGAACACGATGCTGAGCCCATCGTGCTTGAGAAATTGAATGTTCTAACGCTCGGTGAGCTTCACCCTGCCTATGCAGCGTTCATCACGAAGCACATCAGAGGACCCAACACCCGCATCCTCACGATCGCGAACATGACAGGACATGATTACGGACCTTTCGTCCTAGCGTTGGTCGGCCTATTTCCGGATGTTCGGTCTTTAACCATCCGTGCCTTTGATATGCCCGATACGCCTCATCACAAGACCCTCATGGCGAAGTGGATGGCTTCAATGCCCCTTCTAGGATACCTGAGGGTTGCCGTGAAAAACACGAGTTGGCTAGACCTCTTATGCGACGATCCGTGCCGCTACGGTTTGAATATAGCGGATATTTCCTGTGCCCAGCTTCCCATTCGCGACCATCCTACACGCAATCCGCCAAGGAAGAATCCACAGTCCACGAACAAGATGCCACAATATAATCCACTCCTCCCAGCTGCATATCGCGACGCCTCTTCGCCTTCGGATGTAAACCTCGCGCACGACGGGGTGACATTGTCTTCGATCATCCCTCCCCCAGAGATGATCTCTGCGTCCAATGTCACTGTCCAACTTCCGTTCCCGATATTGGGCATACCGTCAGACCCTCAACGCCGTTACAGGGCTGTTCTGGGCTGTCGATTACGGGTTTTGGATTGGCAGGAGGTGGATCCAAGGAATGCCCTCTTATTTGCTCGCCGCAGAAAGCAACTCGGGGTTCCTTTGACTAAACTGTACATCAATCCCTGCACCATCGGTCGTCTAGGAGCGTTTTGGAGAACACTGCAGGCTGAGGGAGCCGCATTCGCACGCGACGGGGTTTGGCCAGCAGCGTTTGGCGCGAGAATGGCACCAGAAGAGCTGAGCCTCCTGACAGAGACGTCACCGCTGGTTCGAGGTCGTTGAAATCTCCCACATTTGACTTCTGCCGAGGACTCCCTTGAGCCTGAAGGTATTTACGCAGCCAGAGATCCGTACGGTAAATCCCGTTCATTGTTATTCCCTTCCTTGCAAAACCGCTCGCAAAGGAGCATATTGACAAGTGAAAGCTTTTGTCGTATCTGGTGTACAACATACGCAGTTTTTCTGCACTGAATGCCGGACATGCTGTAGCTATGTACGGGAAATACAGTAATTAAATTAATAGGTTGATCCGCTAGCCTAGGGTTTCTTCCGCTTTTTAGCCGCTGGACTGTAACCCGAATGTCGTATTGTTTCAGGACGCAGCTCCGGTAGCGATCCTTCTAAGCCATCACCATGCGCCTTTCCATGCCTCGAGACAGCGACCACTATAGGGGGCGCTCTGTTCTTGCTGTCCAGTGCTCGAGGTACGGTGTTTGCCATATGTGCCGGCTTGACGGCGAGCCGAGCTTCTGCATAACCATAACTTCATGATCAGGATAACACTTGGAGGTCGAGTCAATCGGGAAATCGCACCCTCGATGGCGTGATTCCTGAACAGTGCAATGAGCATATCAAGCTCATCGTTGTCCACGAACCGCTCGACGTGGGAGCTGGAGGTAAGCCGCCACTCTTCAACGCTGTTGTCATCAGCCTCATCCTGTTCATGACTTCTTTCTTCGACTGGTACGTCGTCATGGCGATGCCGGAGCAAGGTGTCGATCAAAGGGTTGAATATGGCCTGGAATGGCGGCATCAAGTATGATGGTCCGTCTACCAAACTAACGGCCTCTTTGCTGCTCCAACGTGCTTCAAGTGAAGAGGCGTCTGAAATCGAGGGGGGGTCTGCATCTGGAGTGAATGCTGCTGCCCCAAAGATATCCTGGAACAAAGTTCTGACTTGCCCTGGACTTCCAAAGCCTATCGTGGCGTCGAAAGCACGCTTCGCCTCGATGTGGACATCGTCACCGAAGACGACAACTCCCCAGTCAGACGTGATGCCGACGAGGGTGAAACCACTGGTCCGTGGCGATAGACTGGAGGCTGACAGATTGTTCCAGGTGACATTGCGAAGCTGGAAGGGGAGTTTTCGATGAGCGATGGGGTTGGCCGAACTTGCATCAAAAATCGCCGCCTTGGTCCAAGGTGTGCCGTTAGGGGATTGTAGACGATGCAAGGCTGCGAACTGAGTCCTGTGAGGATGAGTCACAATACCATCGATAGGAGAGGACGAGCGCCGATGCCATACACCTGAATGAAGGGGAGGAGTAAGTAACTGTTTTTAAGGCCGAGAGACGTGTTTACTTGTCTGGCAAACGACGTCCCACATCACCAGATCATTTACGGCAACCAGAACAAGATATCGCCCGGTTTGTCCAACAAAATGCGCCTTTATGAGCGATCGACATTCCGAAGACGTTATGACGCCGCGCAGCCCTGTCGAGGACGGATCATAAAGCGCGACACAGACGTTGTATGTCACCGCCAAAACCGAGCCATCGTGCGACCAAGAGACATGCAGAGGGGTCATAGATCGAAAAGTGAATGTGGAGCGATGAAACCAAAAAACTGTCAGGCAAGATGCTTAGCTTAGCTAAGATCTTAATCAATGATGGGTCTCATACCTTCTGGATGGCCATTCTTATCCTCGAGTTCCCGGATCCGCCAGGATTTGACTTGCCCGTCTTCACCTGCAGTGACCAAGTGATCTCCAGTGGGGCCAAATGCCATATCAACCACCCTCTTCAATCCATGAGGACGATCAACGCGAGTATTCACGGTCCAAGCACTTAATCTACCATCCCAGCGCCAGAACTTCAGGTAGATCTCGCCATGGAAAGATTCGTCCCCTTCTCTTCGATCGATGGTTGCCAACCATTCTCCTGAGTGGGCAGCGACAGCACTGTCCACCGTGCTAGGCAGGATGTGTTCTGAATCGCGACGAGAGACGCGATTTGTAGGGGATATCTCAAGCTCTGCAATTGAATTTGAGGTGGAAGGAGAGTATATCTGCAGATATGACGGGTGAGAGGATGGGAGAATGAGTGTCGAGGAAGGAACATGAGTAGCCAGCGGCGCCGAACTCGCTATGGGTGGCAAGCCTGAGGAAAGCATGGGATCTAAGGCTTTGATGAGCGAGACAAAGAAGTGAACCCTTCAACAACGTACTAAGTTTTATGCGGGAGAAGGTTCTCGACGGTTTCATTGAACTCGAGCTGATGAAGACATAACTTGCATCTGCCAGCCCAAGTAGGTACTCCTCCTCGTGATCGGAACCTCTGCATACAGCGATACTCGCTATTGGGGCGCCAACTCGGGGAACAAACTCCTTCCTGCCAGATTGCAATTGCCACATGACAAGTACTGCTTCTTCTCCACCGCTCAGCAGATAGGCGCCGTTACTTGTGAATGCCAAGGATGATATAGAGTGAGCATGCCAATGAAACGTGGTTGTCTGAGCGCGTTTCTCAACACCGATGGCTTTCTTGACGCTCTGCTCGTTCAAGCAGTACCAAAGTCGGATATTACCCTTCGCATCCCCGGTGGCAAAATATTCCTCGGAGGGATGGAATGCGAGGCAGGTAAGGGCTTCAGGAGACACAAATTTCGTGAATCCGGCCTTCAACGACGATGTTCGGGCAACGTACGCCTTGTGCCCGCCTATAGTCACAAGCCACTCCCCGCTTGGTGATAGAGCAAGGCCATGAGGCGCCCTCGTTTTCCCAGCGACCTCTATGTCGTAAGGCCGGCGTCCACGGCCATCTATCGACGTAGATGTGGGTTTGAGAGACACCGAAAGAACGATCGCATTGTCCTCCGTCTCAATGCCTGAACCGAACTGTTCGTCAAGACACTGCAAGACCAGCGTGCAAGTGGTTCTTACCACTATTGGTTTTCTTCTTCGTAGGGCGCGCAGCGGCAACGAAGACACGGTCTGGGAATCGTTCGTGGCCACAGATGTGCAGTATGGGCTGTCCAATGTCCACAGTATGCAGCAGGACAGCGTCCAAGAAGTCCCATACTTTGATGCAACCATCGAGAGAGCCGGTGATAAGCTGGAAGGGGTTTGTAGGATTCAGGATGATGGACGTTATATTGTCGATATGTTGGTCCCTGACAGGATTGAGGGTGGCAGAGCTACCAGCCGAGGACGCGGAAAGGGTAGATACGACCTGTCCGGTGATTGCGGAATGAATCCGCACCGAGGACCCAACGATTGAGAAGAAGTATCTACATGCAGATTGTAACATGGATCAGTTCATGAGCAAGGCAGCAGCGCATAACGCACCCTCCATCCTTTGTAAAGATTGGTGTATACGAGCTGATAGATGGCTCCGTGAGATATGCCCAAGACCACGGATCCGTTGCGTCGTTGTCCTCCGACGTCCCTCGTCGATTCGCGTTGTAAGACGCAGCCTGCGTCTGTGCGTCGTGCTTCGCCTTGTTCTTAGGGATTCTGGCTTTTGAGGGACTCGGGGGTAAAGGGATATCCTTGGGATCTCGCGCGTAGCGAGTTCTGTTCTTCTGTAACGGCATGCGCACTCGTCTGCGTGGGGGACGACAGTGCGCGCCGAGCGAGTTCGAGAGTCTCAAAAAGTTGGGCGGGCATTGCCGAACTCCGGCATCCACGGTCCCTGCTGTGCCAGGCCGCCACATTGCGCCACGCCCTACAGATCCAGACGAACGGGATTTCGGCGCACTCTCAATTACTTCAAGCAAGCAGCCTAAGAGGTTTACAACAGATACAGGTATATTTCACCCGAGTTTAATTCCGATCGCAGTCCGATTCTTCACTGCCTTCTCCAGAGGTCTCAGGCTCTTCCTCGTTTATTGCGAGTGCCGCGAACATGCCCCCGACCCGTGCCCGAGGAGTCGTAAGAGCTTCGGGCGCACCGTTATCAGTCTCCGACACGCTGTCTGTCCCAGTCGAGTAGTCTCCGTCCTCTCCATCTGATTCGGATGTCATGTCGGCCTCGCCCTTGATGTCGCAATCGGAGGCTTCATCCCCATTCTCGTCGTATAGCCATGCGGAGCTATTCGCAACTGAGTTGTATATCCATATACCATGACCATGGTCTTCACTTGTGAGCAAGCGGTCAGGCGGCCAGAAAGCCCAGGGTACTCTGGCCTCTGCAAGAGCTCGGAGGACTGCGTCAAACAAAGGATCAGACCCTAGTAATGGACACTACCTCAGCATATATACGCACTCGCATTACCAGCGCGATTGATGTCCGGCCTTCCTGCCTTCGCTGTGACCCAGCCTTTAGCGGTCGCATAAGCGGTCAGAATATCCATCGCTGTCCAAGTTGGATCTCTCCGCGGATGTTCCTCTGAGGTCTGCCGCCTTCCATCCCTCCACGTGCGTTTATCCTCCGTCCCTTCTGTCAGGATCGAAGGGTGCTCCAGGCCAAAGATACGTTCCAAGGGAAGCAGCCCGGCGGCGTAGTGAATACAAGCCGGGATAGCCGAAATACGTGAGATCGGTAAAATCCCAGCAAGAACTTGCGTTTCCATCGGTACGAAGTTGGGCATAACGAGGCCGGGGCAGTCGACCAGGCGGACATCAGGACTCCAGAAAAGGGTTTGGAAATGCTTGGTCTGGTGGGGGGAATGTTAGGGCATCTGTGGTACTGATGCGAATGCGCCGGCGTACTTTGCCTGGCGTACGTGACGCCCGAACCTTCACGGCGCCAAAGAGTGCGTTCAATAATGAAGATTTTCCAACATTTGGCTGACCTGGTAAACCAACGCCCGGTCAATCTACGTCCATTGTGAAGCTGGCAGCAGAAACACGAACCGATCAGGCCCACGGTGAGGAATTCGGAAGGAGTCTCCATATGATTCGCGTCGGTCACGGGATTCGAGCTACTGGTCCTGACTTGTGCCGGACCGCCGACGGCGGTACCGACCAGCCCTCCGTTGGCGGCGAGGACATTATCCCAATCTATATCCTTCTTCACTGGGCTCTTCCACCGCTTCAATTTCGCTTCGTCTAGGCGAATTGTCTCCGGAGGCCGCAGCAGGTCTTCATGGGCATCCTTGATGGCATGCACCAAGTCCTCCCTGAATTGTGAGGGCAGGTATGGCCTATGCGTCAGGTTCCCCTTCGCAGCCTGTTTCGCACCCGTCTCTCTTGCGTATGCTTCAACCCGTATGATCCGCACATTCGGGTACTGAGCTTGTAAATACCTCGTCCAAGCCTCAGCGCGCTCTATGCCTGCTATATCCACCTTGGTGAGGACCAGGATCACACGCAGCGTTTTGTGCTCAGCGAGGTATGCTGCCAGCGAAGGAGGATAATGGAGGAGTGGGCAGCGCGAATCGAGGAGAACTAATACGATCTGCGAAATCTCCGTGACGCGCCACCTGGAAGGAAACCCGGATGAGTTACACATTGCTTCATTCGATGCATGATGTACGCACAACTGGCGCCATACCTCTAAATTTCTTTCGAAGTAACTGGGTGATCTCGGCATCTTGATGTCGCGTACAACATTCATGGAGTCGTGATCACTGATGCTGTAGACACTAGCACTTGTGTCATTCGCGGTCCAATCCTCGAAGACGGCATCCGTATGCTCGAGCCACTTGCGATGTACACCTTCCTCGTTGCTCTCAACTTCTTTCTTCGACATCTCGAAGCGCCACTTCGGTCGTTTAGGGCATGTCAAAGGAATTTTATACTTTTCCCTCCTTGGATCGTTGAAGCTGCTTGAGCCGACGGTCAGATCAAGGGGGTACAAACCCTTGCTGGCTGGAATGGGCCTCTGAAGTGGCAAGGAACCAGCCAGTTCCTTCGTTTGTTGCAAGTACTCGGGTGTCAGCTTCACGAAGGCAGATTGAAGTCTTCTTGCCGATTCAACGATGGCCTCCCTATCAGCAGCAGGTCTCGGTGGCCCGTCCTGGGTAGCAGCACGCCGGCGAGCCTTCCCCTTGGGAGTGGGCTTCCTGGTCTCAGGCTCTGCATCACCGCGCTTGATCGCCCGCTTCAGTTGCAGCTCAGCTTTTCGTTGTTTGATGGACACGGGTTTGCGTCGGGCCATCGTATCACGAACGTCGAGATGAGAACTGTTAACTACGTATCAAGGAGAGAGCAGGATATACTGCATAGCCACAACATCGTATCCTCGACCCGTCGCCGTCATGCTCGGATCGTGGTTCACAGGCAAGGGCAAGGCCCATCAGCAGGAAGCAGACCCTCTCATTGACGATGTCCAACACTCCCCATACTCGCGAATTCATCCCAGACCTTCTTACGGTTCTTCAGACGTCGAGGCTACCGAACAGTTGTCTGGCGGCGCGCAACAACCTAGATCGGCGTTCCCGCTCGTGTCCACTCCCCACGATGCCGTTCTTGCAGAGCTCACGAGGATACAGGCAGAGCCATCGCCTGATACTGTCCATGCAACACGGCCCAAGGTGAAGGTTGCCGATCTCACTGCTGCCTCCACGACCGAGAACACGGCTGCAGCTTCGCGGCCGGAACCTCTATCCGATCCATTCTCTGGGGAACTTCTGGGCATGGTCTATCACGAACCGGAAGGAAGCATGGATTCCGCCGAGTTTGAATCTGTCAAAGATGACTTGTGGTCTCAGCTTGGACAAATCCGGCGCCTCCAAGCGGAGATTGCCAACATGCACATCCAGATGGAAGGAGTTAGTGGCGTGAGTGAAGGCAGATCACAGACTGCGCGAACCCCTGCAGGATTAGGGAGACTCTCCATGCGGCGCGTCAGTACTTCGGGCACGGCTGGGGAATGGGAGGAAGGCGATGAGGACGAGGAAGCGGAGCGTAAGAAGGCCCGAGAGGCAGAATTCAACCAGCTGGCAGACAAATTTGACGGAAGAAAGAAGGACATAGATCAGGTCATGGCAAAGGTGCTGACCAGTAATAATGTCACTGTATCGTCATTGATCCGAACGTCCCAGTTGAACGAATTATCGGAGGCGCTCAGTTCCTTCCATGCTCTCCGAATGCCCGGTGCCAGCTTCAATTCTACGTCTCGCAGCGCCACTCACAATTCTAACGCCGCTCCATCACCACCGTCTACAGCAGAACAGACTTTTCCTAGATCGGATCACTCAGTTCATGGCATTCACACTCCTTGACGCCAGATTCGTATACAGATGGTGCGTTGCTGCATTACGGTATGCCACAGTGAAGATACCAAGACATCTCGCTTATTCTCAACCACAGTTGTTAGCGACGTCCTCCGGAATCAAGGATGTAGCACAGTGGGATACCCTCTCGTTCGCACGCATGTGTTCGGCGCTTTAACCTTCAAGGTCCTAGAAGTGACAAAGCAGCTCGTAACTCCTTTCTAGCTTGCTCTACGTCTTCATAGTCTAAAGCAGAAATGGCAAATCGGCAGTGCTTCTGGGCACGAGCCATCTCAGCGGGTGACAGAGTAGGCGGTGTCGTCGCCGGTGTTTGCGGAGCACCATCATGTGGCAGCCGGACACTAGGGGCGATCGCCGCTGTTGCGCTTGAAGACACCACGGAACTTCCGAACGTAGACACAGGTGGTGATGGAGCCTGCGGATCCATAATGAGTGACTTGAGTGTGAAAAATCTCAGGAATTACTCACAAGAAGTCCGCTGCTTGCGTTAAGCCCTTCCGAGGGTGGTGGAGACGGACCGATGCCGCTTAGGCCTCGGGCACTGTGTAATGACTTGCCATCGGCTCGGTCTTTGTCGATAAGACCTGGTGTAGAAGGCAACGGTGACACGGCAGGAAGAGCCGGGCGCGCGTGGTCCTGGGGGGCTTGCTGTTCAGATCCATCATGCCAAGCGCCCGATGCGGCTGACAGTATAGGACGTGTGTTTGGAATCAGTTCATTAGGCATCTCAATGCCAGGAACAAGGTTGGAGGGGGACAAGGTCAATTCCGCAGATGGAACCCCAAGCACCTGGGCAGCACTTTCAGGCTGCTCGGAAACACCACCGACAGCAGTTGGTGGAAGATCAGATGCGCTTCCTGCTGGTCCGGGAGTGGGGCGTCGCCCTTCACGGAGTGCCTTCGATATTTCAGCAGCTTTCCATTTAGCATATTTGATTTTTTCTGTGTCCTGGATAAGATGCTTGTTCGTTCAGCGTGCAACCGGCAGGATAACGACCGCCTACCGACTCCGAGAGACCCGAAACCTCGAATACGTGAAGCAATTCAAGGAAGTTTGCTGCGGCCAGGAACTTTCGAGCTGTAAGCCTGGGTGTTGATCGTTGGCATGCGATAGGCATAACGCATGAGCACCTCACCTTGTAGCGGATCCAGTCCGATCTGCGTCGTCTGCAGATTCAAACAGCTTGAGTGCAAAGTTTTCCACGTACGCGGCACTCGCGCTTTCACTCTCGATAGTCTCTACGGCTTCCGGGTTTTCCACTGCAATGGCAGATTTCATGCCTTCCAGTACACCAAGAAGCTCGCCGAGGAAAGATCGAGAGGCAGGCGATTTTGCCTTCAAGCCTATACCGAGCTGGGCGGCGTGATATGTACCTAGGAGACACAGATACCATCAGCTCCATGTCACCCCGGCATGGAAAGGGCTAACTCCAATACGCAATGACAGGCTCAGCCTTTCTCACTTCTTCGGCCCGCTGCAGAAATGGGAGAATTGATTTGAGCTCTGTGGGCAGTTCTGGAAGGCCGAGAGGCATGGCTATGAAGAGTCAAAGATTTGTCTCGCTGTTATTACTCAACAGACACGATTGTTGCAGGATCAAGCCGCGGGCAGCGCCTCGAGCTCATGTTCAGAGAGTCACAGCCACCACATTCAAGTAAGTTAAGTACTTACAAATTTACCTATCATGCGTCTTCGCAGACTATGTAGTGACGATATCAAACAAACACGAGCAGTTGAGGTACAGAGAACCGGTGATAAATATAATCAGACAACAGAGCCCATACTAAAAACGAATAATAATATTTTAGGCGTATTATGCCGGCTTGTAGCCAAAGAAAGCCTTCATATTGCGACAGGGCCGATCGCTAACACTGTCCCTGCCATGGCGTCGAATAGCCTCCAATAGGTCACGTCGAACACGTTCTTCTTCAAGATGCTCCGCCTTTGAGAGCTGTTCCCGTATGGGAAACGTCCAACCCATATCCGTTAAACTAGACCACAACGAGATGCGAACTCTCATATCGCTAGACGAGCAAGCATATCCGTGAATCGGGCGGGCGTTACTGTTTAAAAAGGACATTACCTTTGGTACCGTTCGATCAAGATCTCGAATTTTCGTCTGCTCTGAAGCTCCTCTAGTTCCTCGTCGTCGTCCCACCCAAAGGCCTTTAAGGTTCCCTTGCGGTTCAAAATCCTGCTTTTGAGCTCTTCCCACATTGCCTCTTGACAAGCGAGAACATCCTGAACGACCTTATAAAGGTGCATGCCGAGCACATGATCGCTCATGTTGTTCATTCTGTGCAGGTCTTCCTCATCCAGCAACTTGTTTCCTGAGTTGGATCCAAGTTCTGTTGTCTCCTCTGGAGCTGCAAAGTCTACAGAGGGCAACGGCGGGCTCGGCGATGGCAACAGAAACTCTGAATCATCTATTCCATTTGCTGGGTGGCTTGAAGACGAGTAAGGCGGGTTTACGTCAGAACAGGGTTCGGCAGACGTTGCCGCGCTACTTGCGCTCTCCCATGACGTGGAGAACATCGACGAGTTCACAGATGTTGCCGTTCCGGTCGTTTTCCCAGAGTGAGAAGTGGGGACTGAAATTGAACGTGGGCGTTGGTCCTCTGTTCGGATGATGGGGTCTTCCGTTACGTATAGCGGCTTGGAAGACTGCATCAAGGTTAAATCTGGCGGAGGTGGGGGTGGACGTATTGGCGGCATCGGAAACTTGAGAGCCGGAGCGGACCAAACACCAGAGAAGTATGCATTGAAGGAGCTCGCTAGAATAGCTGCAAACGAAGACATTAGCAACGAAATATAGTGCAAGGGAGGTGCGACGCACCGGTGGGTTTTAAATTAATGAAGCGGTTTTCGAATACAGCATAATACAGAGACTCTAGCAAAGCGTGGTCATGAGGGAGCTGGTGATATGGGTCTGGGACTGCCAAGACAGGCGGAGCCTCTGACACATCTGGAAGGTGCACGGCCTGCGACTTGCCAGCACGTACGCGGAGGGGTTCCGTAAACCAATGAGGTAAGGTAGGGAAAATGATGTCTTGTATGCAACAAGTCGGTGAATTGATGGTGATGAGAGAAGGAATAGCGACGGCACCTTCCTCAAGGAGCTCCACAGCGCCTCCAGGTCGCAGGACCCGAAGGACCTCCTAGATATCGGTTGGGTTCGCGATTTGGAGCTTGATTAAGATACACGTACGTACCTCAAATAAGCTGGACCACTGCGGATAATCATGACTCAGCGATACTTCAGGAATTCGTCGGACCGAACCTTGCTTTCCGGTATACCTTTCGCCAGCCTTGCGATGTGGATATGGTCGAACTCGTCATCGTCGAAGGGCAACCTGTTCGTCAAGCTGGCGCCATGTTATTGACTTGTCAACGAGTTCGGCAGCACCAAAACGCACAAGTTACCGTGCACCCATTTGATACGGCGAGTGGTAGAGTCATCAAGAACCGCCAGAGGTATCTGGATGTTCATGAGATCAAATCCAATCTGAACCCGGCATTAGCATGTGTGCGGCTGCGCCATGTATATATAGAGTGTGTTGTGACGCACAAATTCGCAGTTTGGCCACTCCTATACGTGGTCCATTGGGTCACCAAGTTACTGAACGGTCGTTCTATAAATATGGCTGACCTTGGCGGCCTCGATTACCCAATGCCCGTACTACATGCGCAGTCAACATCGGTCATCCGTTCGCGCCAGTATGTAAGTAAAACTGACCCCACATCCGAGGCTAAGGGATCGCTGCGGAGGGCCATGTGGAAAGTCGACGAACGTCACCGACTGTTTGACGGTTTGCGTATACACCAGATCGAGCGCCTCCCTGGTTGTGACGACTTATGTTCAGTATATTGTGCCGCGTTTGTCGTGCGGTAATATGCCCTGAACGCACATTTCAAGGACCTCGGGGCAGTAAGAGAGCGGGTAGGGGGCTTTATCGGTTTCATAACCATGGTGCCTACGTCCATTCTTGTCCATAAACTGATTCTCTTTGCCTCGTACAGCGGGAAACTGCTTGAACGGTGATCCTAAGCAAGATGTCATGGAGTCGTCCGCGTCGGAGACGTTGGCCCGCGGAGCATTGTCATGGCTGCTTGTGCTCCCAGAGGTATCGCTTATGGACATGGTGACCAGGAATAGCGTCGGAGGGACATTCAATCGTTCTCAGTCCAGGATAGACGATGTCAGGAGGTTATATGTTGTAGTGCGACAAGCTTGAAGCTGAAGAGCTGGCATCATCCCACGACCCATCCGCAAACGGCAGGAAACGGTGGTCTGACCGATCGGCACAACGTGGTATATCCAAAAGTGTTTCTAATGTATGCGCGAACCCATAATAACAACCCATGCCCTTCAAAAGAAAGATTTCACAATAAGATCATGATCTCTACAAACCTAGCTCCTTCCTCTTCATGTCGATCATGAGCCCCTTGGATTTTACCAACTTTGCAAACCAATTGCCAAGAACGATACCCCAGAGAACGTCAAAGTACCCGGCGCCACCGTTCGCGCCGTTGGTGAGTACGATCAATTCGAAAGTGCCCTTATAAACCTTCGTGGGCGATTGGCCTGATAGGATCGAGAGGATGTTGGCAGCAACAACGCCCGCATGCACCGGATATTTCGCGAGTTGTTTCTGTTCTTTCCAGTCTATGATGTCGCCAGCAGCGAAGACGTCGTCGTAGGCTGAGAGTTGCAACGATGGCCGAACTTTGACTTGGCCCTGTTCGTTCAGGACCTGATTGCCCAAAGACGAGGCAAGGAACGCGGTATTGGGGCGACCACCGCGAGTGGGTACCTGTCGGTCCGGTGAGCATGGCGCAGGAGAGCAATGGAACGTCACACGTACCACCAGGACATCTTCGAACGTCTTGCCATTGCGGGTGGTTATAGTCGTCGATCCGACAGCGGGTATTTCGTCGATGAAATCGCCGAATACAATATCTATATTGCGCGCGCGAATTTGCTTCTCTATAAAGGCACGGTACCTATGCGCACATAAGTCTTCCGCAATCGCGCTGAGCACGCTCATACAGGATATGCTCACTTTCTGGGATACGTCGGGTTGAGCAACTCTTCGGAGCCTTGAACTATAGTGACCTTCTTTTTCTAGTCCCACAGGTGAGCGCGTGGTTAAATTTGCTGGTTCATGTTCAGCTCACCGGCCACACGTCCTTGATCTCTCCCGCCAGTTCCACCCCGACCGCACCTCCTCCAGCGAGCACAACGTGGTTAGATTCCGCGAACTTCGAACGCCAAAAAGCGAGATGCTCCTTGATCTGCTCCGGGTCGTCTGGATACGCAAGAGGCCCTTCCCAGACGGATCCGGGAGCGAGTACCAGAATATCGTAATGTATCTTCTCTCCGTTCTCCAAGACGATGGAACCGCCCTTTGCACCAGTGTTGGGCTCAACCGCGGAGACCTTTCCGACCTTCACGGTGCCATTGTTGTTGATGAATAGCTTGTCGTAACTGTTCTGTGTTCAGCGCGGGGACTGGCTGTGGAACATTGACACGCACGGAATGAAGCTCGTTTTCTCGAGGTTGCCACGGTCGGATACGACGGTGCGCAACTGAGCTGGAAGGAATACCGAGAAAGGACGCGAGGTGACGAGGGTGAGACTGTGCTTGGTGATGTCTAGCTTGGCGGAGAGTCGCCTGGCGATATCGGCACCGGCGCCTCCACCACCGACTACGACAATGCTCTGCTTGGACATGGATGAATTTTGATGAAGGAGGAGGGAAGATGGAGAGGGAAGGAAGATGTCCACCTTATATGCAGGCTGTCGCGATTCCTGTCCGAAGCGCTTTGTCAGCCTGTGATTAATGCCGCCAGGAGGCACTGGTTCGCGGCGTGCACGGTAAGGCGTTGAGTACACGCAACCTGACGAAAAAGCGATTGTGCCCGCGTCTGATACTGCAATTGGAAGCATCAGCGTGGTGTCATCAGTTCCCAGTCATGATCTGCTTACGGCTCGGTGCTTACGAGACGTGCCCAATGTAGCCAACCCTCCTGCCCGTCGGTCTTCGGCCCCGCGCTCGTTGCTCGGTCGCTCGTCGTTGTCGACGCACGGCTTCTGCGTCGTGCTTGATACGTGCCAGTCATGCTCAGATCTCGCTCGGCGTCGACTTGCACGATGGTGCTCCAACGCCACACGACACGACTTGACGTCACTCGGCGTTCATGGCACATCGTCGTCGCGTCCACAAAAGAGCGCACAGGCTGCTTGCGGTCCTTGAGCGTCCCTTGACTCCTAGATCTCGCAACCTGCATCATGTCGATTCCTGAAGAATACAAGCAAGGCTGGAAGCCTCCGTTCCAGAAGCAGCAGAATGTACCGGGCTCACAGTTCAAACTCGACCCGCCTCCGTTGGACGACATCACAGCTGACGGAAAGCCCTACAAGGCATCCGGGAAGCTTGAGGGTCGCACCGCCCTTATAACCGGTTTGTTTGGTCGTTCAACGGTCTCCTTTCCTCGTTCTGACCTGGCCGCCAGGCGCGGACAGTGGTATCGGCAGGGCCATTGCGCTTCTGTTCGGTGAGATATGCTCATCCTATGAACGAGCCGTACCTTGCTCACCTACTCATCTAAAGCTTTGGAGGGTGCACAAATGACCATCGCGTATACACCTCAGGAGGAAAAGGAGGCGAAAGAGGTTGAAGAACGTATCCGATCCAAGACTGGGGGGAAGACGAAGCTCCACCTGATTGCCACTGACCTGCGCAAAGAATGCAATTGCAAGGACCTCATCGATAAGCATCTCAAGTTCTTCAGCGGCGCCTTGGACGCGCTGTAAGTGTTGAAGAAAGCCGTTCGTGGCCACGTTGAGCGAGCGTCGGCTAGAATCCTCAACCATGGCACGCAGATCGCCAATACGGATGTCGTTGACTTACCAACAGAGCAGTGGCACGATACGTTTGATGTCAACGTATGTTAGGTTGTCATTCTTCCCACAATACTGCTAAATACAGACCTTTTTTTAACCAGATTCACTCGTTCTTCTATCTCACGAAAGCCGCCATCCCCCACATGCCAGAAGGCAGTTCCATTGTGTACGACGCTTCTATCAACTTCGCGATCGGACATCCTGGTCAGTAGCGTCACCGTGGCCGGTTGGGGTATTCGCATTGATGACCCTTCTTCTTCTCAGAGCTACTCGACTATACGGCGACGAAGGGTGCAATGATCGGTTTTATGCGTGCTGTGTCGAATCAGATAGTCGGCGAGAAGAAGATGAGAGTTAACGGTACGCGACGTTATGTCGATATGTATAACAAGTACCCGAGGTGACCTGGGCTTTGACGCGCAGCCGTCGCTCCTGGTCCTATCTGGACTCCCCTGATCCCCGCCACCATGACCGACGACTCTATCGAACAATTTGGCGTTGGAACACCAATGGGCCGTGCGGGGCAACCCATCGAAGTGGCGACGTGTTTTGTATTCTTAACCTCGGCGGATTCCAGCTATATCAGGTCCGTTCAAGTTTTCGTCACGTCTTGAAATATATAGCTCAAGATGTTGGTTCCCAGTGGTCAGGTTCTTCATGTGAACGGAGGTACTGTTATCAACTGAGGCGACTACGGGCAGAGGTGGAAAGAAACTGTACAGTACTATGTATCGATCAATGTGATCAGAGGACTCGGCGAACCGTCTTCAATAATGACGTGAACTCATCTTTTGCGCGAAACCAAACCAGGAGCACCAAGTGCCGAACGCGCCGCGGTTGAAGCATGTTTGTCGGATATACCCTGGAGATCCGGCCCGGATGATTCTGTTATGAGGATGTGGCGGCTATGTCTCTCAGATTTCAACGTTCAACCAAGAAGCACACGCGTCCCTCTGACTCACCGCCTACCTACGAGGGACGTCGCTAAAGAGCGTCGTTGGCTGCTTTGCCATGTCATCAGAATTAAGCACTCCGATGCTCGTTATCGTTATGGTGAGCGTTACCTCACCTTCGCGTAGTACTAGATCCCTTCCTCATCTCATCGCTTTCGAGGGAGTGTCGGGATGTGGCAAATCGACGCTCGCAGAGGCACTCGCAAAGGCGCTGGGCTTCTCCTACATCGATGCAGATGCCATACATCCCAAGTCGAACGTGGACAAGATGTCCGCCGGGATCCCTCTCACCGACGCCGACAGGGATCCATGGCTCAAACTCGTGCGGGCTGCCGCTGAGCATGCCGTTGCCGAACAACAGAGCGACCCAGATCACAGCCGGCGCAGGGGGGCGGTTGTCGCGTGCTCAGCTCTGAAACGCTATTATCGCGACATCCTTCGCGGTACAAGGCACCCAGAAACGCTGAAGGCGCCCGTGGATCCGCCAAACCCAGAAGCCTTACCGACTTACTTTGTCTATATCAAGGGCGACAGGACACTCTTGGAGCAGAGGATGTCGCTTAGACGCAATCATTTCATGAAGGCCTCGATGCTGGACAGTCAACTGGCGACGCTGGAATCTCCGGAGGGGGAGGATGGAGTAGCCGTGGTCCCTCTTGACGCCTCCACCGACGAACAAGTAGCGCTTGCGATGCAACAGCTAATGGAGTTCTCAGGGTCATAGCATTTGTACTCCCGTAGATTTACTTGAATAGCCATATCGTCCGTACGTTCAAAGCGAGTTCGCACTGGGTGCAATCCTAGATTTTCCTCCCCTCAGAATTCAAGAAACAACATGTAATTATTTAGAATTTTCCGCACCATTTTTAGAAATGAACATCATGAATGAAACATTGGTTTTTTGGATTTAGTCATGATTTTTTTCTGTGACTTTCTGCGTTTCTGTACTTAGCATTTTGTCAATGATTCTACTTATGATCTGGAAAATGATCTAAAAACTCTAAGATAGGGCTCGGGAAAGTCACGTGACGTCTTCTCGAGTGAATCATGATGATGTTGAAATTATACGATGAGTATCACCGCCACTTGGGGGCCGCAGTGGCGACACGTGACTTCAAGCCTCCCCGGTTTGAGATGAGCCCCATATTAAATGTTTTCTAGGATGTTGAGGTGTAAAAAAAATGTAGGTGCTTGCCGCCAGTTGTACACCGCAAAATAATCCGCAATAAGTGACTCCGATACGGGGGGTCGAACCCCGAGCTGCCGCGATCACGTGACCCCTATCGGGCACTTCCCACGCTGAAAGGCGGCAATGTTAGCCGTTACACCATATCGGACTGCTGTAAGCACATAAATTAGTGTATATATAGCATGGCCGCACCTTATTTTCCTTTGCTCGCTCTCCAGTTGTCTATCGTCTCTCGTGTAGCTTCCCAGTATAGCCGTCGACCCTGTTCTGATAGAGACCATGAACGAGGACATGATTGTATGCTCACCATCAGACTACTGGATAACCGAAGCATTGGCCCGTCACCAGCACGATGCTCAATCAGACTACTACGGCAAACGTTGCTTGTCAGATCGTATCATATGGGCTTCGACGCGATGGACAACCTGACGGCCTCGCGGCGGACAAACATTGAAGGGGTAGGTTTTACATACTGACTAGTACACACTCCTGCTGCTAACCGACTCCTTTGACACGTAGACACGCTGAGCCCGTGTGGCAGGTCGCATGGGGACATCCGAAATATGGACACCTCGCATTTTGCTCGTACGACGGGAAGGTTCTCGTTTGGAAGGAGGCAAGCATCGAATCCGGGCGGTTGGACGAAGGTCAAGGAGCACAGCCTAACAGTGCCTCTGCTATGTGACCTGACTTTCTACCGTTTCTCCACTAAACTCGACCATGCGTCTATAGTGAACTCTGTCTGATGGGCACCCCACGAACTCGGTGCCATGCTCGCCTCCTCCGACCGCAAAATTTCGCTCCTATCCTTCAAAATTTCGCGTTCCCGGTTCTCTACTCTAACGCCCGGCCAGCTCCTCTTCTGCAGACGATGGTCAGTTGAGGCCCTGACATCTTCAATGGCCACGCGGTTCGCTGTAACGTCTCCTGGGCGGACGCAGCCCCGCTCGCTCATTGGGACTCATTCCCCGGGAACCGCTTCGCGAGCGCAGGTCGCGACACACTCGTCAAGATCTGGGGCTACCGCACGGACACGCAGTCCTGGATAGATGAATAGACGCTCGAAGGTCACACCGTCTGGACGTCGCTTGGGCTCCCAACATCGACCCATAGCAAAATGGCGTCCACGAGGTCGGTACGGCTTTAAAAGCCATACTTCCTTACCCCATAACCCATAGTTAGTTACCATAGTTAGGAATAGAATGATTTTTTTGGCAGTTTGAAAGATGCTTTGGTATCATTGCATTACACGTTAAAGCGGTGGTCCGAATTCATGCCCAAGTACATTGTGATTGAGTGGTGACGATCCAAAATGCGGAAATCCGTGGTGATGGTTAATGCTATATACTAGGAATTTGCTTGATGTGTGATAAACGCCTGTTGGCTCCGCCTCACCAATGGCCGAGCTTCACTCGCCGTCTGTCGAATCCAAGCTCTAACCACTCGCTGCCGTCCTCCTGTGGGGCCTCAGATTCGCTGAGGCCGACGAATCCGACGCGATGGTACACCTTTCTTGCGGCAGGCTTGCTCAGCGCAACGTACAACACGACCGCCTCTTTACCGCTTCGCAGTAACCTGCAAATATAATCCCATGCCGTCAACAACCATGTCAATATAGAGCACGAAACACCCGCTTACTGCCCGCATACATGTCTAACTAGGCGCTCCGCGCAGCGACGACTGCGCCATTCCGGGTTGGTGTATACTTTCGTTATGGCGGCAACCTTGTCACTGCTCCGCGTGACAGCGACAATGGAAGCGATCGCCGACTGACCGCCATCCTCGCTGATTTCATGCACCCATATCTGCTGATTGCGGATGTATTCCACAGCCTCCGCAAAGCCTTCTTCCCGAGTCAGAACAAAGGGCTCCTAGCATGATGTAATCAGAGCTGCTCGTAATCAGACAACAGTCGGAGACTCACCGAGTCCTCCGCGAACAAGAAGCAGAGTTCCGCGACAGCCTCGGCGTCTGCCGCCACTGCGGGCCGCAGCTCGAATCGCAGATGAGGGTCCACAGTCAAAGATCGAGGCTTGAAGGTCGCCCGAGTGCAGGAGGAAAACGTTGCACGGTAGTATTCAGGTTCATTGTCGAGCTCCACGCCCGTCTTCTCGGTCCAGTACTCGACAAATGATATCGTGACGGCTCTGGGACCAAACACAGAGAATACGCGCTCTGTCGGCACCTCTACCGATAATGCAGAGACGAGTGTATCCATGCAAGGCGAGACGTGATCTTCCGTCAAGTCCTCGTGGGGTGAGGTAGCAAAGATGAATATGGGATAGGAGTCGATCGGTCCCTCCGTGCAGGCGAGCACGAAGTCGAGAGTGTCGGTCGACCCCGGCCGACGACTCCAGATAGTGATCCAAAGTTCATGTTCGATGAGGTTCCCTCGCTTCTCCGCTGCGAGGGACTCGATGGCATGAGGGAACATGATGTTGGAATCCCGTTGGTTTTCCTCGAAAGCCTTCCAGGCTTCGGCTGGGAGCTCGGAGGGCCTGCGGTGAGCCCTAGCGAAGATCGGTGAAGCAATTCCTGGCATGACGAGGAACACACGGGTAAACGGCGATGAGGTTCGAGCTCGATGGTCTGGGTGGACACGACCAGGAGTGTGTGTCGTTTTATAATGGAGGCTTAACAGCCACTATGACTCAAAAGATCAGAAGCACTATACAAGGCATTGGAGGTGAACCTCAAACAGCTATCCAAAGAGGGCTGTTGATGCGATAATTTCCAACTGCCGTGGATTACCACTAGCCGCCTGCCGTGTCCGCATTTGAAAGGTCAAGCGCCGCTAGCGTCCATCGAAGCTATCGGTGTGCGAGCCCTGATAGGCGAACAAGTCATGGGTATTGTTCCCGAAGCTGGCGCGCGCGCTCCGCAAATGGTAAGAGCGCCATCACAGAGCCTGGCTAGGGGGTATGCAGCTTAGCATACGGCACCGAAAGGAGTTCCGCGGTAGGAATGACGCCAGCAGGCGGAGCTGTTCCAACCTCCTGACTCGCTCGTAACGCCGTTGGGCGTAACGACAGCTACGGCGCCAAGCTGTCGGGTAATACGTGCCAGACTGCGTGTTGTGCCCGCAAACTGCGTTCCCGATGTTGGTAGATCCACAGCAATCCTTTGCCATAGCCGCAACGAGCCCGAGTCATGCAACGGAACGCTGCGGGAATGACTCGGAGACCATAGCACTTGCTGGGGACGAATGGAAGCTATCCGAGTCAAACAAAGCGCTAATAAGCGGCAGTGTTCGGGGTGAGAAGTGCTTGATGGTGCGTCGTCGAGAGGCGGTACTACATACCATGAACCGGGAGGAGCATTCGTCACCCCCCATTTGCGGGCGCTTGGCAGGCAATTGCATTGCCCCGTTGTACATGGCGACGCCGCTCCAACACAAGCTCGAAAGTCGCCAACCTGTCAAAGATTGGCGCCAGATAAGCCTCACGGAGACAATGTCGCAGACGGTGGGATTCTTTTGTCATTGTCAACAAGACCGGCCATTGCGAGAGGCGCGTGCCGCTGCCACTGGTTCTCAAGTTACAAGACAACCGTTCCCGCATGGATAAAGCAGCTCGGGTTCACAGCAATGCCTCAAACCGGGCAGGCACCCGCGCCGTCTCAGACCGCCGCGTGGTTTACAAGGGCGTGTTGGACAATCCGTTCACCGTGAAATGGTCGGCCATAACCATCACGTCCGTCCTGCGCACTAACGTTCACTTCCGCGATTACAGGCCGTCATTGGCGCCAAACGTGCAGAACACTCTTTTGGCCCGCTTGATAGCTCTGGCTGAAGCCGTTGGGAACTATCATCTTGAGCGCGAGCGACAGAGCAAACAAAAGAAACGCGAAAGGAGAATCTCGCAGAGGCGGCACGATGCCGCGCGTGAGGCCCCCAAGACGCAACAGGCAGCCAACGACCCACAGGATTCTGTCTGTTCTCTCTCGCTAACTCCCGCGGGACCAGCTCCCCACGAAGGCATGTCCTACCCGGAGGAACCGGCAATCCTCAAGCACCTTGTCGTAGGGGTGAACGAGGTCACTAAGCGCCTTGAAGACCTGGCGAGACAGTTTCAGCGAACCGACGTCAATCTGAACTCGACACGCGGTGACCGTACTTCCACCGTAGCCGTCGTCTTCATCTGCAGAGAAGATATTGATCCACCGATGCTCGTTTCCCACTTTCCCTCCTTAGTAGCGTCCGTTAACTCCGCGTTGGCTCGGGCTGCATCCTCCCAGGCTCACAACGTACCTTACATCAAGCTCGTGCCTTTCCATAAGGGTGCTGAGGCCTCGTTGGCAGCGGCCATAGGACTACGTCGTGCCGCCGCTCTGGCCATAGAGGTTCGGCGCAATAGTACAGTATAGGAACTATTTGCTAACACACATAATCCCCTTGCTCGCAGACACATGCTTCGCAAATTCACTCGTTTCTGGATATCCTGGAAGCTATCCCCCCATTAGTTGCCCCGTGGTTGGCGAAACAGTTCCCTGGATGTGTTTCCGACAGACTGCTGGAGGCAACACATGTCAAACACTTGAGGACTACTGCACCGATTGATATGCGTGCTGCAAAAGAAGCGCGTGTAAAGGCAAAACAGGTTATCAAGGCGAAGTCGAGAGAAGATTTCAGACCGCCAAAAAGGCGGAGCGATCGTGGTGCCCAAACGCGGAAGAGAGCGAGATTATCCAACGACAGTCAACTTTCTGAGAGTGGGCTCCCATGACATGTAGCAATGGCTTTCGATATAATGTAGTTGGGTACCCGTCGCTGTTCAAGTTTTCACTTCCGACTGTACATACAGTGTACATGCTTCGCTCTATTGAAAATATCTGCACGTGACTTGACTGTAATGAGTATGTTCGGCATCTTGATCCGTTCTCTATGCAACATGTTCATAGCTATCGTGGGCACTCGACGTTCTGGAAAATCGACAGTCGAGGATCATCTCGTCATGAAATATGGCTTCATACGTCTCAAGCTATGCGCGGGTTCGGTTTCAACTCACAATGTGCGGCAGTGGTGCTTGCGAACGGTCTTACCGTCATCTGAAGCTGTTACGTCTAGCAAAGCGCTGGGACGCAATTAGTTGACTGGAGAGATTCCTTCACAAAGGATATGTTCACCGACGACTCCGAACCGTACTTCACGGATGGCCGCGATCTTTCTCAGCAACCGCATACGCCGCAGGAGCAATGGGGCCGTAGGACCAAGCATGACTCTTTCTTGTTTCTGAACTCTCCCATGACTGTGGCAAACAAGTCCTGGCCTCTCAATATTCCAGAGGACGACGAAGCACGACCTGAACAGTTGGTCTTTTCCAAACCTGCCGAAATGCTACAGTATGCAACCCGTAACTGGCTGCAAAACTTCGTCACCGTGGACCTGCAAGCCAAGGCCGACATCCAAGAATTCTCGATACGCCCATTTTTCATGCTCGTTCACGTTGACGCCCCAGTACTTCAACGTTTCTCTCGACTAAGTGGGTTCGTGAACAATTGGAAGCCCGAGATATAATTCTTATCCGAAATTCTTTAGTGGTACATGTTCATTGGAAGAATTCATCCACGAACACGATTACACGCTTTACGGAGGATCGCCCCACGCTCCGCATTCGTCTGTCAAGGCACCGTCCACGTTGCACAGCATCAGTGGATTTGTCGATCTCCGGATCGTTAATAGCTTTCCTTCGGTGCCTGACTTCAAAGCTCACCTTGACTCTCTGGGTCTGCTTGATCCGGACCGCCTGAGGCCACGATGGGACACGTACTTTATGGTATGTATCTTCCCTGCGAAAGCACTGGCTTCCGCTGAATTCGGACCAAGAAACTGGCGTCACTGGCGTCGTTGAGGTCTAATTGCATGAAACGGCGAGTGGGTGCCGTCGTGGTACGTCACAACCGTGTTATATCCACAGGGTACGTCTTCTACCCTAGGCTTCGCAAATGCGCGCTGACAGCCGTGCAGTTACAACGGGACAGCTCGAGGTTTGCGAAATTGTAACGCAGGAGGGTGCTCTCGCTGCAACTCTGGATCCTCATCAGGGTCTGCCTTGGATGAATGCGTTTGTCTGCACGCTGAAGAAAATGCTCTTCTTGAAGCCGGTCGCGAGCGTGTAGGAGATGGCTCAGTACTCTACTGCAACACGTGTGTGATCTAGCACCTACATAACGTTGAGACTAACCGACAGGACAGTTGCCCGTGTCTGCGCTGTACTGTCAAAATCATTCAAACTGGAATAAAGGAGGTTGTATACAACCTGAGCTATAAAGTGTGAGCGATATTGATGCAGTACTGTCGCACACCAACTAATGGTATGCAGCGATGATGCGTCACTGGCCCTATTTCGAGAAGCAGATGTTAAGCTTCGCAAGTATGCTCCTCCGCTCTCGGAGGCATGATACAGCGGCTTCCGCTGACCGTCACGATGCTTGGAGAACGATTTCAGACCAAAGTATTCATGTATTGTTCAGCGCGTCAACAATGATATCGACGTTCTGACCAATGACCCACTCCTCCTTCAAGAATGCAAGCGAGTTCCCCACAGTTCCCTGAGTAGCATGCAGAGCTACCCATACAGCGTCTCCGTTCGATTTCCCGAGCTGTATGTACAGCCGACGTGCGTAATGCTGCAGCTCATCATGGATACGGGCATCTAGAAACCTCCTAAAAGCGATGATGACTTCCCAAGTCGAGGTTTCCCGCGGCCGAACACCCATCGCGGCGGCTATCATGGTTTTCAAGATTGCGCGGTAGGTTCTATGCGAGTGTGTATATGCGGATATCGGGTTGTGAAAAGCCCCAGAACGCTTGAAGAGGGCATTCTGAGCATCCACAGCATCAAGTTTGGCCAGCATCGCGCGGAAAAGGGGCCACACTTCGTCCCAAATCCTCCGACTCATGAAATCGCCGGCATGCGTTGCTAGGCTTTCCAGCAGCGACGCTGCTGCGCTGACGACGAACGGTTCTTGGTCTGTGAACCTGTTCACGATGAAGGGCCAGGAGTGATGGATAGAGGGCAGAAGGGCTGATTCAGGTAGAAGTGGTACTGCTGATTCGAGCAAGCGCAGAACATGTGCGCGAATGACAGCGGATCCATGAGTCAGGAAGTACAACGAACGCGACACGATCTGTTCAATCAAGACTTGCGTAGGGGTTCGTGGAGGTTCGGTATCGGGGTCTCCAGAATGCTCTCCTGGTTTTGACTCTTCCCAAGAAGTCGTGCTCGGGCTGCGTGTCGACAAGGGGTTGCTTGCATCAGAATCATCATCCACTACCTTTGGATGTCCCTTTGAAGCAAGCCACTCTACAAGATTGTCGAAGCACACTTGATCTGTAGGCAGGCTTGGCGAGGATGCAAAATTCTGCGTTGATGAGACATCCTTTGCATCGATCGCACCCAGGACCTCGTTCAACACCTCCATCAGCCCTTCCACTATCATGCTATACCCATGGAGTTCATCGAGCCGATCGAAGCATTCGTTCACCACATCGCTAGCTTTATGTACCACATCGCGACCAACCAAACGGATAAGAACGGCAAGTACTTTCGGTGCCTCGACGTCGAGCCACCGGTAGCTTAGCCGTCGGGATACGGCGTCCAAGGCGTAGTCAAAATTTGACAGGAGTAAATTTGCCGGACGAGCGTAAGACATGTTGTGTGATATGGAGTTAAGGCAAGCTAACGCAGTCGACGACAGGAACGATGCCCGAGACACGAGCGAGTGCAGCATGGGATACATGGCGTCCATGAGCAAAGACGTGAATCTTGACTGGAGTATGCCTGCAGATATCGCCAACAGTTGCAAACATATGCCATCGCGAAGCCAGGGACTTGCGAATGCCTTCTTGAATGGACCTGGGCCGAGAGTAGATCCTGGGGGACCTATGACAAGAGAAAATCCTCGGCGATGTTCCAGCAGTAAGTTCTGGGTGTCCTCATTCTCGAGGGGTGCGGTAGGTTGATCCTGGGGCAGCGCAACGTTCTGCTCCCAGAATCCTGCCAACGATTTCGTCAGGCTCCTTGCGAACCTTCGCAACCTCTTGCTTGGAGCTCGTTTGCCCATCTGCTGGTGACATTCGGAGCTGAGCGCGAACCCACTCACACCGTCCATCAACTTGGATGCGAACCAGAGCGCAGCCACCGAGCGGGGATCATTGACTCCCCTTCTCCCAACCTCCACGAACCACTCAACTGTAGTGAGGCAGTCATCTCCAAGAGTGCGGCCCAGTGCCCTGATCATGTTCTCCAAAACGACTTGAGTATCGCGCGACGATAGGTTGTCTACCTTGACGTGGGGAAAAGGAAAGGCAGTTTCCGTAGGATGCTCACTTTCCGTCTCTAGCAAAGGAGGAGCCGTTGGTGCCTGGTCGATCACGACGTCTGGTATGCTCAATTCTAGGACAGAGACCAGGCTCCAGCCCCACTTTTCAATACCACCCACGGCGCGAAACAGAGATGGCGCGCTTTTCGTGATGGGACTTGACGATTCGTCTGTAGATGTAGCGAGCAGGCAGATGGCTTCAATTATTCGAGCCGCATGTTCGACTTTTCTGTCGGATGTGGAGGCAAGGAGGCGGGGAAGGTTTTCAAAATTGTCTCGAACAATGGCAGCCAGGCTTTGGAGCATCAGGTGCCTTGCTCGGAAGGCAGGGCGCAAGAGCTTGGATAGCCCGTCGCGGGCTGAGGCAGCGACGGACTCGAAAACGTTCGTTGATAAGGATAAGAGGTATGACAGCAACAGAGGTCTTGATTGAGGTAACGACAGAGTTGTCGAGGAAACGACAACATATGAAAAACAAGCTAGCTGACGGAGGGCAGACGGAGTTGGATGGGCGAGCAAGGGCGTAAGAGTATTCAGTGCGATATGTAGTTGTGAACACGTTCCTTGGAGCCAAACTCTTGATCGCGCCGAAGCCGCGCGCGTTTGTGTATGATTTGAGCTTTGAGCAGCCGCATCCGGCGTGGGCCGCGCAAGATCTTCGAGTTGATTCGGGTCATCTATGATGCCTTCTCTGAGACAAATTTCGTCGCTAATGGACCTGACAATCGCAGCCTCCAAGACGTGCAACGCGAGGCCGACCGTCTCTCCTTTCACCCAACCCTTGCCGGTCCCTGTTCCAATGGCGGCTTTGCTCGTATGACTGACGATGCCTGGGAGGACAGAAGGGATCAGATCATCGTCAAGATAATCCCTAACAAGGTACGCCAAGACCTCGAGGAGGAGATTCTCTAGCCTGATGTCCGATGACTCCGACAGTGTCGTCAGGACGGATGCCAGGATTTGCCCGACAATAGGCACCAGTCTAGCAGACTGCGCATGGAGTCGGTACACCGATAGCCTCTCTTGGGGACTCGTGCTGGTACCGGGTGGCCTTTCCTCCTCGGTCCTCTGACGAATCAGGGTAAGGAGACATTGAGCCGCGGCCGCCTTAGTTTCGCTGTCTCTTCGCTTGGGGTGCTCCTTTGTATCCGTGATATCTCCAAGAACAGTACCACAAAGCATCAGCAGCTGCTCCCACACCTTTATGTCGCAGTCCCACCACCACACGTCGCATATGATGCCGATGATTATGAGAGTTTTCTCAAAGACATGGTCCGGGATCGCAGATGGAGGATTCCGACGCAGTATAGTTGATAGAGGAAAGAAGACGTAGGAAATGATCGGCGCTGTGAGGCTCTTCCTGTTCTGTTGAAGGACGTTGATGATTTCGGACAGACAACGAGATGCTATCACTGATGATGACGGCGTCAGAAGTGAATGGGCGAGGAGGGGCACGCAAGAGTTCTTCAACTGGGATGCGGCATTAGGCTACTGTATCGTGGTTTGATGCGTAACTACCTTTAGGAATAATGTCTGGGTTCGGTCCTCCGCCATGTTTCGGCAAGCACAGGATAGATGGGTCTTAGGCACATGCGTGCAGCTATAGAGCTGATGTAACTTAGCAGTCCAGCCCGTCGAAGGAACGATGGCGTGGCTATGCTGTCATAGGTCACGTTCAGTTTATAAGTACTCTAAGTACTGCCTATGTACTTCCAAGTAGCGCACATGCCATGATGAAAGGGCCGTAACCACCGCAAGTTACCAGGCCAGAGTGGCCGAAGATTGATTGGTGCGCCTCGCATACTTAGCCGCTTGGTGGTATAGCTCCACCGAAAGCGCTCAGCACACCATCCAATTTCAAGAGCATTTCTTCCCATTCTGCTTGCGGGTCGGACAAGGCTGTGATGGCTCCGCCCGCACCAATGATCCATTCCTCTTCAGGAGTGTCTTTATTCTCGCACGTGCGTCCCGCCGCGCCCATGTCGCGGCAGCGGCTCTCCCCTGGTTCGGTGCAGTCAAACTTATAGCAACTTCTGATCGTGACCGCCCAATCACCCGCACCGGATACACACCAGTATCCGAACACACCAGAGTAGATGCCGCGCGCTTCAGATTCGAGGGTTTGTAGGATCTCGACACTGCGTTTTTTGGGGGCACCGGTCATGCTGCCTGTGCATTGAGTACATCAGCCCAGGCCAAAGTAATCTCGGTACAAGCAATGACGAACCCGGCGGCAAACTACGACGGAGGACCTCCCATCCGAGACCGTGGTGATCGCGGCTATCCTGAGACCGCCCTTCGATAACACTGACCATCTGCCAGACCGTTTCATATTCTTCGACGTCACAAAACTTTGCCACCCATACGTCCTCGCCCAAGACATAGTGAAGATCATGTCTGATCAAGTCCACAATCATCAAGTTCTCGGCCACCTCTTTCTTGCTTTGGGTCAGCTGCTGCTCAGCAACTTCTCGGGTAATCTCCTCCGTGCGACGCAGGGTACCTTTGATTGGGCGGAGTTGCATTGGAGTAGACGGGGAACGTCCATAGGAGAGAAATCGTTCCGGAGATGATGACAGGAAATGCGTTCGACCAAGACGTAGATATGCCGAATACGGGGCAGGGTTTCTTTCTCGCAGCGACTTGTATATCGCCCAAGAAGTGAGGCGGTTAGGCGTCCCCCGCCTTGAGTCTGTCTTCTCCTTGGAGAGACGAATCCGTGTTTGCGCAGTCAGGCATAGCTCGTACGAGTTCCCGGCAAACAGATTCTCCTGCGCCTCTTGAATGGCAGAAATGTAACACGACTTGTCCGGCGGAAAGATTCTCGGCGAGGAAACCTGCAATGAAAGGTGGTTGTTCCGCGTCTGCTGCTGAGGGTCATGTAGCTGGGCTGAACGTAGTCGTGATGACATCTCGTCGATCCAGCAGTCGTTGGGGAGAAGTGATTGCACATACAAAGTATGCGTGTTGTTATCGAAGACAAGACTCCGTTCCACATAGACCAAGTTGACGTCTGGGTGAGGGTGTGGGCTCTTCTGGTCAGGATTGACCCCCAAAGAAGCAACGCCTAGCTCGTAACTCAAGTAACCAACAAGACCTCCCCAAAACGGTATCTCGGGAGCGCCTCCAGCGAATTTCCTGCGGCGCATGAAGATAGATAGCCAATCCCACACGTCGACATCAGGATCGAAGGCCTCTTGTCTGCATTTGCCATTTTCCCGAATCTGAACCGAGCGTTCACCTGTGTGGAAGGTGATTTGCATGGTTGTCGAGTCGAGCACGCCCAAAATGACGTAACGTCCGGGGTTTGCTGCAGAATCCAAAAGAACAAACGGAGAAGTTTCATCCTCGACGCCTAGTTCTTCGCATAGTCGTGGGACTGAAAGTGAACGCATATCGAGCGTTGTGGTCTGCACGGTTCCTGCAGGTGGTACAGGATCGCAAACCGGCGCAAGTTTATGCAGTGGCCAAGGATCACCAAATATATCATGTGCGTCAGGATCCCATCTCTTCGTTGTCCTTCTGCATCTGGAGGTCCAAATCTGAGCCAGTTTCCAGAAATTATCCATGACTTGAGCGCCACCACCCTCGGTCTTCGCGGATTCGGGATGATACTGCACCGCATAGAACGGTTTAGTGCGATGTTTGATTGCCATGACAACCCGTCCGTTCCCGTCTCCTTCGTCCGTCCATGCAAGCTCAGTGACTTCGCCACCGTCGAGCAACTCGACGTGGAGAGAGTGATACCTGACGGCGAGGACCTCCCCAACTCCCGCGTATAGGTCCGTCCCTCTGTGTTTCACGGAGGATATCTGGCCGTGCTTAACCGCAGCCAATCGCTTCAAGCGAGCGCCGAAGTTCACCGCAAGAGCCTGCAAACCGAGACACACTCCGAATATCGGGAGCAGGTAGCCGTCCTGCAGGTTCCATATGTCCCCTATAACGCCTATGTCGCTAGGTATATGAGGGGATCCGGGTCCTGGGCCCACGACAATCGCATCGAAGTACAGCAGCGACGCCACGAGCTGCGTAGACGGCAGCTGGTCGTTCTTGACGATATGTACTAGACATCCAGGGATGGTCCTGCGGAGCAAAGAGGCAAGGCTTTGCCAAGAATCAATCGCAAAACGACGAGAGTAGGTAGATGGTATGCGTACTTCAAAGTGAAGCTGTCGTACGAGTCAATCAGAAGAATGCGTGGAGGTATTGGACCCATAGGCGAGCCTTCAGCGGGCATCAAGATAGTGTATCCGTCTATTCGACGAGAGCGCCAATGATTGGCAAATCATACGGTAAGAGTTCGATACGAAGAGTCACTGAAACCGTGACAATTCAAGGAAAAGTATAACTCCTAGGGGCACGGGTTTTTCCGAAATGCGTTCAAAGCGTACAGGAGCGCTCTCACCAATTGGCAACAGGTATCCGCGACGTTCGCATGAACAGAGCTGAATAACATTGCCATATGCTAGGATGAAGGTGTGAGCGTGTGATACGCGACAGGCCGCTACTACGCATATATGCTAGCACGAATGCTCGGCAAATAAAGGGCTGTGCAAAGGAAGCCTGAAAGCGGGTTCATGAAATCAGGTTCAGAAGCCGTAAAGGAACGATTCATGTCGCATGCACAAACGCCGTCATCAGTCAGATGATGGTGTCGGCTCCTTCACGAGTGAACCCATTCGCTTGGTTAAGCCATAAGAGCAATGTGCCTCAGCTCACTGCGCTCGTGAATGAGACGAAGGCCATCCTTGGTGAGTATTCATACGAGACCACGCACTTCTGCACCTGTTGGCCCACTTTCATCGGTTGGTATACGGCGTGATCCTCCTCCTCCTTGCCTATATTGATCGCATCCGCTTGCATAACTCGAGCTTTATCCACAAGTAGAGAAATAGGACTGAGATCCCAGTCAGACGAGAGATGCCAGAAAAACGTGGACGAGATGCGTATGAGTGGGCGGTCAGGAACCCTGAGCTTCCGATAATTTAAAGTCTGATTGTACATGTAAATGGCATGAGCTCAAGGCTTGAGTAACGTGTAGAAATGGCGTGAACCTCGATTGTGGACTCGTTGACAACGACCTCGTGATAACCGGCCTTGATCAATCCGCCACTGATGTGTTCTATTTGTTTGCCGGCTTGCACCAATAGATAGCGACCTGTTACAGGCTCAGGAAATCTGACCGCGATGCGTTTGCCGGTATTGCGGGCCCATATATGTAGTCCGGGATAGCGACTTCTGAGAGGTTAGTCCTTGAGCTATACTCCTTAGTGAGAGGAAACATGCCTGCGACCGTGAATAGTCAAGAAGTTCAAGTCGGTGTGGAATCCCGCGAGAATCGTATCTTTATGCCCGTATTTGACGAGATCGGATGCCGTTGGCGCGAGTAAATGGGGACCATACTTGCCGGCCTCTCGGAAAGTAGATCGCGGGAGACCGAGCCCGAGAGCAATCATTTCGGTGAGATCTTCTACGCTAAGATGCATGTGAATGTAATTTCTCGGACGCAGAGGGCAAAATTACGCTGTTTTCATTGATTTCCCCCACTTCTCCATGACTGGAGTCCACCGCTCTTTGAGGGCAGGAGCTTCAGGGACGATATTTGATGCGTTCAGGGAGGGAAATGCCGTTTCATACGGTGGAGTATCGCCCATTCTCCAGAAGAACCGGCACTTGGGGTCGGGTTGATGTCCTGAAACATCCAAGGGGCGTTCTGCTGGTTCCAGGCGCTCGATTACCCTCAAGCAAGGTTCGTCGACCGCGCACTTGGGTTTTTCTGTATTCTCCAGAGTGACACCGATCTGATACCCGAGTTCTGGCCGTTCATCCTGCTTGAGCAATGAAGTTGGTTGCGCAAAATAGTCCTCCATCAAATCCAGGAAGCTGGAATTGTCGGCCTCAGAAACGCGTGAATCGTGTAAAATGAGGGCGCCGTAGGCGATCAAGGCGTCAGCTGCTTTTGAGCATTCAGTTAGAACCCTGGGGTCGGACTGTGACTCGCCAAGATATATGTCGAGATCGATGATGGGCAGAGTTGAAGTGGACATAACGGCAGTGAACAAAGCTCGAGGATCTCACGTCCTACGGCAATGGCATACTTTGTGCGGTCACGTTCTTCATTGAATTCCTCAATCACGACGTTGCCACTGCCACACCCCTACCGCACACGACGACAACGACAGCCGGCCGGGTACCCTTACCGACATGATCAAGGTGGACATGTACATACATACGTATGTTGAACTGCTATCTTAAACATACGCGTCAGATATGGAGTATGAAGAAGGATGAAAATGCAGCGGCGAAGAAGAAGCCAAAGACGAGTGCTGCACAAATCCGAGTACAGAAGGGCACGTATTCATTGCTGTCTGATAGACGCGTTGCTGAGTACTAATTGTGAGGATCAGACTTGACGGAGCTTGATCTTCCTTCTACAATGAAGACCCACTTCCCTGATCCCGCCGATCTCTTGAACTTCGAGTTAACGATTACTCCTGATGAAGGTGCTTACTGCTGTTCATACCTCGAAAACTTGGTAGTCCACTGACCAGCTGCTCAAGGGATGTACAAGGGCGGTGCATTCAAGTTCTCCTTCAACATCAACACAAACTACCCACATGAGCCACCTAAAGTCAAGTGCACGCAAACTGTATGTCTCTAGATACGTGAATCGGAAATGTGACAAATACCCTGCAGATATACCACCCCAACGTGGACCTTGAGGGCAATGTCTGCCTGAACATCCTGCGAGAGGACTGGAAACCAGTTCTCAATCTCAATTCCGTCATGGTTGGATTGCAGTACCTCTTCCTTGAGCCGAATGCGGACGATCCGCTCAACAAAGGTCCGTTGTATATATCTATACTCTCAGTCGACTGTTCTGTCCATCCTGACTGCGGTTGTTCAATTGCGTGTCTATAGAAGCGGCTGAGGAGCTGCGCAAGCATCGCGAGCAGTTCGTCCAGAATGTCAAGTCGTCTATGTTGGGACGTGCCGTTAGGGGTGTCAAATACGACAACGTTGCCATATGAAGACAAACTCTCCATTTCATTGTTCAGGGCGCTCTCGCTACCTGCTTTCAGTTATACACCAGGAACGCTATCTAATCGCACACCGCTCTCACGGATCCCTCCCTGGAACGTAGGCAGAGCTTGCCCGATGCACTCATGAGGCTTTCGATGTCACCCTGTTTTCTTTGCATCACAGCATAATAGATGCCCCTAGCTAGAGATACTTGCTTTGTAGCCCAGTATGTATCCGATTGTTCGATCGAGTGTTGTCACGGCAAGCTAAAGGCGGCAACATCCACAACACCGTAACTAGTTTCGCTGCGACCGCTTTTCAGACCTGCGCAGAAGAAATGTAGAACCACTTGGAAACTGGCACGAATTACAATCAGTAACAGTCATGTATAACTATGGATGAATGGCACTTACTCGACGGGTCGATAGGGGCGGGAGGCTTGCGCGAATCAGGCGGGATACCAGTATACGCCGGGTCATTTTTGGAGACAAAGCCTGGCGAGTTCTGCACAGTGATGTTCTTGATAGAAAGATCGTAGGACGCCGTCTTTGCGGGGCTCTCGCCCATGATCAGGCGGCGCCACGCTTCGTGGCATTCGTGCACAATCTCGGTAGCATAGCGCTTGTTCTTCGCCTCACCGGAGAAAGCGAACGCATTTTCCGGCTTTCCATCGGGGATCTTGTAGATACTACACAACACGCATGAATCCTGGATTGCACGAAGAGTCGAAAGATGACCTCACCGGAACCATTCGTTTGTGGCGCGGATAAGGCCGGGAAGGTGACGCTCGACATCTTCGATGTCGTTGAGCTTCGAGGCGAGAGGATCATGGATATCCACAACGATAACTTTCCAGTCCGTCTCGCCCTCGTCTAGGAGCGCCATGATGCCCAGAACCTTGACTTGCTTGATTTGACCAGTGTAACCAACTTGTTCGCCGATTTCGCAGACATCGAGAGGATCGTTGTCGCCCTTGGCCTTCGTCTCAGCATGCATCTGCGAGGGGTCCTCCCATGTCTGCGTACATCATGAGTACAATAGGGCCGCAATGTAAGTTCTCAGTGAAGAGGGCTAGATACCTGAGGGAATGCGCCGTAGTTCCAGATGTATCCGTGATGAGGGAAGCAGTTGCGGACAAAACGCAGACGGCCTTTCTTGATATCCTGTTTGATGGGATTGAAAGGCTCCTCCTTGGACAGCTCCATCTTCGCATTCGTCCAACGAGGGACCTCGACGATCATGTTGAGGATGCCATTGCTCTGGTCGGCAAAGAGCGGAATATCATGGAACGGGGAGACGACGCTGCCGTTGTGCTCGATGTACACGCGATGATCTATCGATTTCGCGCATCAGAACGAGTGGCTTTTGTAGTAGTTGCCTTTATCCGCACCGAGAGTGTTCGGAGCACCAATGAGACGTGGCGTGTACGCTGGAGCATGCAACGTGAGCAACTCAAAGGCAAGCTTTGACGAAGGTAGGGGCACTGACCGGAAGACATGCTGGTCAACAGTCGAGTTTGTTGAGCTAGACGCGCGAGCGCGGATGTACGATGGATGCTCATCCGTTTTATAGTTGCCAAAGTTATCAGTTCCGCATCTGGTTCTGAGCGGAGCGCGTCACGATTATCGCCGCATCGGTGCGCGCCCTGCAACGCCGCCTATACATCGACATCATGCATCATTTTCTGATAGTACATACTACAGCGGCAAGTAGCTCTCGTCCAAAAACATGTTTGCCGTCGAAATCAGGGTCGTTCGCTTGCGGGGTGTAACTCCGTCTTAGAAAACCCCGAATTGAAATCCAGTCTCAGCAGCAGACTCTCAACATGTCTTCGTGATGCGCCATCTCCGTCTATACTTCGGACAAACGTCGTTCCAAATGATGTGGTGGCATCCGCCATGCTGACATTCGGGAGGACCGACCTCGAGACATCCGGTGCAGCGTTATTGAACTGTTTGCTTGTTGACAGCGAAAGTTGGTCGTAGAACGAAGTGAAAAGTGCCTGGAGGATCTGCAGGCTATGAGTATGCATGGGCCTCGTAAGACGTTCCGCTTACACTGTCCATCTGCAGTACAAGGTCGAATCGTTCTCTGACCATATCTCCCGTTTCACCGCTCCCGCGATCATTGAGACTCCCCTCGAACAGCAGCGCAGGGAGAACGTCACCACCCCAACGCTCGACCTGGGCAACAAAGCGTTCGCAGAGATCAAGGATTTGCCGGATGATGGAGGATAACGCTTGGTTCGTTAACAGGCATCCTTCGAGGAGATGCTTCAGATAAAAGCCATGCATTTCGCGCACGCTCGTGAAGTCCAATCTGGCAGTTGTCGAGTTGCCTGTTTGCTCCGAGTGCTCCAACAACGAGCTGGAAGGCCGTCGAGTTGTGCGATGTGTTGCCGCGGGCGGTGCCAAATTGATCGAGGATGGACTATTGTGAGGATTAAGCCGTGCCTTGAGCCTCCGATACTCGTCGTCGCAAACGTCTTGCATGACATGACCCAGAATCACATCCAGAAAAAAGCACATTTTACGCACGATGCCCCAGGAGCATCTCAGCAAGTTCCTACGAACATCGACGTCTTCAGGACTGCCGCCTTCGTTCAACCCGGTCCTTGTGAAGACAGAATCGTTTTGCTGTTCGACGCCATGAAGTAATAGACACTTACCATCGGCGGCGCGCTCGTTGAGCATTAGATAGCCAGGACCAACACAGATGGATGCGAGTATGGGTCCTACGCACGGCAGATATGTATGAAAATATGGAGGAATATACCTGAATATCGGCTGGCTGCAAAAACAGATCAAGCGGCCATGTAACGACATAAGACAAGATAACAGGTGTCCCGAGGAGTATGTCATTAAACGAGACCGCCTCCGTGGATATGATAGATGATGTCAGAGTGCGATCATAGGTCAAGGACGGTTGCGCGGGCCCGGAAGGCAAATGGAAGCGCAGGGATGCAACTGCTGAGTCCTGTTGAGCTGATGTGCCTAACGAAGCACGAAGCATAGCGAGATGGATATCTTGTTCGCGTATGATAGTGCTTGATCCAGCGCGCGAGGTCAAACGCGATAGCTTGAGTTGCTCGAGTTCGCGGATGAGCGATAAGGCGAACTCGCCATTCCGAAGGAGGAAGTAGTTGGCCCTGAGTAAGACCGTCAATGAAAGCGCCGACATGTTGGCTCGAAAAGCCTACATGGAATCGAGAGCATCATCTACGTCCTTTCTGGTGAGTACGTTGTCCCAAAGCCATTCGCTGATGCCGGTCCGTATTGTGCCAATAGCTCTTCCAAATGAATAACTATCCTCCGGTAGTGCCCCTTCGAGCACGCTAGTATACTCAAGCGCGAGCCTACGTGGCAATTGTTGATGCCATTTGGCAGCTTTCACGGTCCCTATTGCGCGGCCGATATAAGACATGGAATCGCGCGTCTGAGGCGAGACACAAGTTGGGGTGGATCCATCGAGAAGCTTGTAATCGGTTGTAAGCAAGCCTGAGAGCTCTATCTCGCCGTGAATCATGAAAGCGATAGCGTGTGTCCTCCAAACGCGCTGCACGTCTCGGGAGAGTTCCGAAAAAACGGAAGCTATGCGGTGCACACCGGTACGCGCTCTGCCTTGAAGCATGTCTATGAGAGGACCTGGGGGCCAGGATTCCCGAGAGTCTACTTCCTCCATGAGAGATTGGAAGGAAGCTAGAGGGGCTTCCCATTCTTCGAAGGTGGCTCGGATAGCCGAGAGGGGAACAAAGGATCCGCCAGCGACCAGCTTGGGGTCTCGATGTAGCACTCTGGCCTCGGTATCTATCACCAGTGATTCGTATCCATCGCGCAGGAACCTCTGCAGAGATGAGGACAGAGTGCAGATGTACTGCGAAGGCGATGTTGCGAGAGAAGCGCAGGACTGCTTGATTTTGCGGTATCGGAATGCAATCAATCCGAGGGATTCTAGACACTGCGCTTCGCCTGGATGCAGCAACGGTATGAAGACGGGGTTGAGGGTGTTATCCTTTTCCGAGAACAACGAGGAGGAATGACCCGCAAGCAACAGCAATACCTCTGCAATCATGCTCGGAGTAGTAAGTAGATGGCCGTATACACGAGTCCCGCCAGGAATCATGCCTACATTGAATGCCCGCGGAGGCAGTAAAAATCCAAGTGACAAGTGACAGCAAGTGACAATTCTATAATCATCTACTACTACTGTGCGCGTCGGTGTTCGTTATACATCTGGTAGCTCGCGCTGCAATAGTCGTTTCCACGTGCTATCCTTCCACCAGTCGTCCATGCTGTCAATCCTCTCCCACCTAGTACACAAGCTTCAGTCAAAAGAAAATCGGAGAACGAGGATAGCTTACAGAGTCTCCTCGTCGAGACCATAAATCTCGTACTTTCCTCCGTCCAAGGAGCGGCCCTCACGTTTGGCGACCTCGATTGCCGCCTTGTTCTCACCTCTGTATGTGATTAGCCACGACCCACTTCGCGAAATCGACAGAGTCTCCAAGGGCACGGACTCACTTCAAAAGCTCTAGCAGTTCCCTTCGATCCGGGAAAAATAGTCTCGGCTCCAACACGGCAAGAATCGCCAGTGATACACGAAATACAAAGGAATCGCCTTCTAAGACGAGCACGTCCCAGATCCGGGCACAAGCCTCGAAGGGGAGATGGTCTAGAAAGAGCGGCATTATCCAATCCGGGAGGTATGCGGCAGGAGATATTTGGTGTTGCTTAAAATTGAAATAAACTGAAGTCGCCTGTGAGTAAGGATACTCCGGCTCACCAGACAGGCAATTAGTACGCACTCTTAGGCATGCCATCGGCGAGAAGCGTGTCAAAAATTCTGGCAGACTAAGCAAGCGAGAACCACGATCGACGGTGAAGCCTTACCTATAGTAAGCCTCGACCTGACAGGGCATTAGGTGCGGATACGTTCACGAGAACGTGAGGACGTACATCGTCGTTGGCGCTCCTGCCACCATAGAAACTCCTCATGCAGTGTCGTTCAAGTAAATTTCGTAGCACGATGAAGGCTTGTTCTTTGCTGCTCATGGTGAGCAGCAACATACCCGCAATCCTTGCAACTCCCTTGCTATAATTTAACCCTTCGTCGAATCGAGAGACTACCCAAGCGGCGAGCATCTCATACAAGTCGTCATACAGTGGCCCCGTCCCTGGAAGGAAAATGTGGAGAGAGGGTAGCGTCGAGGAGATATCCGTCTCAATGAGCTTGAGCGTAGCCTCGGGGAATGTTCCTGTTGATCTTGCGCGTTTCGCACGGGCGACACATGTTCGATAATTGCCTACAGGCAGGTTCGGAAGGTCAACTCAACGGTGTTGGCTGTCATATGACAACTATGCATACCTTTATCAAGAGCGAGAGCGTTACCCACTGCTTTCTCCCACATGGTCGCTCTAAGGCTTGTCGGTATACCCTTCCACCAAAGTCTTTCGTTGGTCCGGTCAGACACCGCTTGCCCTCGTACGGTAAGCACTTACCTCTTTAACGCAGGGTTTTTATGGACAGCTCTCCAATCCTCCAACAAATGCTTCTGCCAAGCCTGTAGAGATTCTTCAATGCGCTGTTCTCGAGCGAGGCGCCGTGCTTGCAGCGCCTTTCTCCGTTTCTGCTCTGACCATGCCCGGTTCGTGTTAATTGATGTAACGGAGATACGTTGCGCAAAAACATAGGCGGTGCTGGCTGTCAGTTCGTCTTGCGTTCCCAAGAGCATATGTAGAGGAGCAGAAGCTCACCGGCCGCACGGCTTTGCTTCATCATCTCTTCCCAGTCGTGCAGATGTTTCAAATCTTCTGTCTTTGGCTTCGGGGGCAGGAATGTTGGCCGAGTCCTACTCACAACTTTCTCGAAGGCACTTGGACCCGAAACGGAGCGACTTGACCGGTGAATTGACGTTTCAGGAGTGGTAGATTGCGACGACGTAGAAGAGGCAACGACAATCTTCGGAATGGTCGGCGGGGGGAAAGATGGGGTAGTCGGCGGGGCGGAATGGGGTGTCTGATGGCTGTCAGAAACTTCGTTGACGAATAGCTTGTCCACGGCTCCGGAGGAGTCTTTCATCGCGTCAGGAACCGGCGCGTCCGTCGAAATTTCCTTGCTGTAATTGTCTATCTGCTTCACGTTTCCTGATGGAGGAGGCGGGGATGCAGGTATATATTCCGGACCAGGTGTTCCTATACGTGAACGGTCTGGCTCTTCGCCGCCATGCCCAGACGTATAGTTGGAGATGCTAGAGTCCTCGGAGAGTGAGATATGACCAAACTGGACTGCAAGCTCGGTTTGCGGTCGATGGGTTTCAGGGGGTGGGATAGGTGTAAGAATATGTGACTCCAAATCCTGGTCGGAACCCGCATGCGCGCTACTTGCATCAAGCTCGAATGTGGATACCGAGGTATCGGCCTCGATGTTGCTCTGGTGACACGAAAGGTTATTGGGGTCTTGTAACTGGTCCGGTGTCTCGTCCCGTTCCATATGTTGTGCATGTGCTTGAACTTTCACCATTTCTTCACGTAGCGCCGCGGACGTGAAGTCAAAGGAAGTCAACTTGTCTTCGCCGTCGGAGAATGCATCATCGAGGTCAATGCTCGGGTCGTAGGGTTGGATGATACCAATGTTATGGGCATGGTTGTTCTGAAGGTTGTCTTCCATGCTGCGAGAGTGCGGGTCCGTCGAGGCATGCAGTGTTAGGCAAGTAGTCGCAAATGCGGTCGTGGCTGGTAACAGCGACGGCTTTGCTGCGTGCGCTGTGTTGCGCCTTCCGTACACTGCGCACCGTGGGCCAAAGCCCTGTAAATGAGACTCGATGGAAGGTTCCGTGCGCGAAGTACGAGATACAGTACGAGGAATAGGTATTGAGCGAATGGTAATGTTCTCTATGATATGATACAGATGGTATGCACTTCCGGACTTGGGGACTCCAAATCAATTCTCGATAAACGCCTTCCCGGGCTATACGTTGCGTTTCGTACTATTGCGTGGAAAACAAGTAGGTCGATCCGCTTCTGTGCCACGAAGGGCGTAGGTGAAGATTGCGAGATGCCCGTTGAACCGGGATCGGGATAGGTGTGGGCGCAAGCCGTGTGACCTTGCTGGAAACGGACAGCATCAGACACATGGTATATTGTGCGCGTCGAGTGATGCTCAAAGGGGGGGGGGGGTAACATGCTCACCTGGATGCCCGGAAATACTGCATGTAGACGAAGGCACCAAACGTAGCCTCCAGTGCTCCAAAGAGCAACAACGACTGTGGCAGAGATACATGAACGCCCAAGGATGTATGACACATGTTGACTCACGTTGCGTCGAGCGAACAGGGCTGTGGGGATCATCTGGTCCGTGTTGCTTGACGACAAGCGAGTAAAGGTAAGGTTGAGAAGACGGCGCTGAGTGGTGCAGTTGGGTCAAGAGTGGACTGAGTGGGGAGGCCTTGCGTGGGGCTCCGCCTTGTTGACCGAGTCTTGTTAAATGGATGCCTTCGGTGCATGATTGCCTTGCTGGATGACGGTGGTCCGATTTCCGGACTACGGATATCGAGCCTTAGGTTACTTTCGGACGGGTGTGGTCGTTATTCGTTATCGTCTGCTACGAGACTCAGGGGAGAGAGAGCTGGCCGCAACTGGCCGGGTCGAACAAGACGTGCTGCGACGCCCAGGTAGAATCTAGAACCAAAATAGTCCGGGGGCCCACGGAAGCCCGGTGACTGTGGCTGTGCTGCCCGAGCTCCAGATTGCCTCGGACGAAGCCCATCGACCTTCTCGGCTAGATGAGCCTCATCCAGATTGACCCACGCCGCTCTCCTCCTCCATCCCACTCGACTGCTATCATCCCCTTGTCGCGGGTTGTCTCGGGAATCTGCGTGGAGCCTCCGAAACCTGCCAATTCACGGTGCGCACATGCTCAGCTGAAGGCCATGGCACTCGATTTGGCCCAACGGGCCCGGTGTGAGCTTCCGGTATAAAGCCAACTGCATTTCCGCGCTGTTGCACATCGCATCGCAAGTTCACATTCAGAACTCGACCTCAAACATACGAATCGTCACCCAACCCTTCCCAATCACGATGATCCCCACCTTACTCGCTGCTCGCGGACGGGTAAGTGTGGCATACCTCTGTGCATGTGACACGTTATAATTTATCTTCGACTATCCAGTCCCTGTTCCTCTTTGGTACATTAGAGGCTGCATTTGCAGGATTCGTCTATACGCAATACTTCAAGACTAGGGCAACGAGGTATGTGCGGTCCCTGATCAGTTCTCGTTGATATCTGACCGTACGCCTCGCCGTAGCATCCTTCCGAAGGGCTCGCTTCCATCGCATATTCCCTCCGGCAATTTAAACCTTTCGCTTCACTGAGGAGGAACTCAAGCACCGGTTTTGACGCTGCCAGCATGGGCACGTCGCTGGAACCTTCGCCTCCGGCTATTCCCGGACCTGCCTCAGTGTCACTGCAATACTATATCTCAGGGTGGTCAGGCATAGAGGACTGAACGTAATGGCCTTTCGAACACGACGTGGAAGAGGATGTATCATATGTACAACTGCTATTTATCCCGCAATATCAACATGGAATTGACTATCGCAATTGCTCGGGGATACGATTGGCCGTCAGTACTGGTTGTGTAGATTGGTACCGCCGAATGAAGCATCATTACTCGCCGCCTCCAGCATCTCGCCAAAACGCATATATACGTCTCCTATTTGCATCCCGTACCTCCGAAGCGCTCGCTTTGTCAAACAATAGCTGGAGCAACTGTTGCCGCACATGATCGGGCTGTCCTTGTGACAAAGATGTACAACGGGAGCTTGTCGTTGACGAAAGGCGAGGTCGCTTGCGAGTCCTTGTTTGTTCTTCGTCCTCGTCGTCCGAACCTGGCGGCAACGAAGGGAGGGAATCGAACAGAGGGTTCAACACGGCCTCCTGTACGCGTTGATAAAGGGCCTTGACCGGGGTCCGGGCAGCGAACTCGAAGAACGGCGAAAATAGTATCGCAAGAGGTACGGATCTTCCACCAGGGGTTGTGGTAGCCGCGTCTACCGATTCCAAGGCTTTGCCGAGCTCCTCGATGTATATGTCTGCGACGTGGTATGCGAGAGATTGCGGTATCCTTTGATTGGTCGGACTACATGTGGGTACAAAGCTTAGGCGCATACACAAGTTTGAAAGGTATACAAGACTATACCACAAAGGTCCCCTTTCTCCAAGCATAATCTGAGTGTACTCCGCGCAGGCTGGTTCGTTCCAATTATCCCGCATCAAAAGCCGGAATGACGCGTTCAGGAATCGCCGCACGAGCATATAATATTTGTCCATCCTACCGGCGAATGCAATTGACTGTCCCGATACACTAAGCCCATATAGGAACGAGGACTCACCTCAATCGGTCGATCCCACTCCATTCCCGGACGATAACATCCCAGAAACCGCGCAAGAAGTCGAGACTTGCACAGGTGCTCTTGATGGTCAAGAGCATTTCAGCTAGTTCAGCCGCCAAGGCCTGTTGCACGAGCGGTTTGTCGGACATCCAGAAACAGTAGAAGATGCCTTTCCATAGCTTAGCCATCTCTGCTTGCGGCAGCAGTGCCTTCGTCGTCGGTTCATCTACGTCATCCGCACTACTCTGCGACAGGAAAGCTGAGAGCTGTTTTATAGCCCTGTCCCTGGTTTTCTTGTCTTGCTTACGACTGTCATGATCAATAGGACTTCAACGCCGGTATTCCAAGCATACCTGTTGAGGCCAGGTACTTTGCTAACGGCGGGGTGGAAGTCAATCCAGCTGCCATTTGTGAGCTGCTTATCGAAAGCTGTCAGCAGCTGAAGTGAGCCAGGCCAATTTCTGGGCAGTTAAGAAAAGATCATCTGTTAACTTACTGCCACCGGCTGGGGTGACAGGCGCTTTGTCACTTGTGACAGGGCGCGCAACAACCAGTGACTGGTGAGACCAATGGCGCGTGTCACTGTCAAATGTATGTACAAGGCCAGCTTCCGTCCGTGAACTTACTCAGACTGCCGCCCTTCGCGGTGCTAACCGGTCTGTAGCGGCACTTTGTGCGCCAACTGTATCATCCATGAGCGCTGTGACCGGAGGAAACTCCAGCGTGTGCTTCCTTGCCGACACAAGCTTAGAAACACGGATCGGGCTCTCCCCAGCCCCGATGACTTCGCAACGCCGCGGTGGTACATAATCCACGGTTAGACGCGCCCTTCTTGCTGGACCATTGATTCCTCTCACTCGTTGCCATGTCTGCCATATCGCCGGATGAGCATACCCCGCTTCTCGACAATTCGCGTTCAGCCTACAGGGATGTGTTACTACCTGACAGCCCAGCACCATCCACAACGACTATCGTTGACGATGCGCCTGACACGAAGCCTTGTCCTCTTGGGCCTCATTCAAGGGGTACCGATGGACATTGGGAGCCCCCGACAAAGAACTGGATCTATGTGCTGCAGAAGCAGGATATGGCTCTGCGCAAGAATCGAACGCTAGTTGTCTGCTTTGACGGGACGGGAGATTCGTTTGACAACGATCATTCGAACGTGGTTCAATTTGTGTCGATGCTCAGAAAGGACGATCATGGAGTAAACACAAGTGGAAATGAAGATTCCGGCTCGCAGGACCACGGAGGAGTAAGAAGAGACGATCCGACATGTATAATTCACCACAAGCTGATGAAATGATTCGTAGCAAATGGTTTATTATCAGCCTGGCATAGGGACGTACATGAGCCCTTTGCTGGTGGCTCCGTTCGTGAGCACATTCGTGAAGACCTTGGACGAGATGGTCGCATGGAATCTAGGCCTCCATGTCATGGAGGCCGGTCAATTTTGCGAAATATGCGAAGATAGCGGACACATACAAAGCGAGGCTTTGGAGACATTGCACGACTCGCTTGCGCCTATTTACGATCAATTGGATCGCCAATGGTTTTGGAAAGGTGACGCCGTGTTCCAGAGTACTTCCATTTCTTCCTGGCGTGCTCATCGACTGTGCAGTCATGGAATATGTTCCCATGCAAACGAAACGGCAAACCGTCAAAGACGAGAGCAAATCACTTTACTGGACGTGAGTTGTATCATATCGCTGCTCATAACGGTGTGATGAGGGTGCATCGCTTGCAGCATCAACCGAGGACGAGGTCGCAAGATTTTCAAGCATATCATGCAGCGCAAATTACTTGTCCACCCCTCGGTTCGCTATCGTCTCGCGGCTGCGAACGAGGACGGTCAAAAGGGAACCTACGTGCCACGAGCGAGGCCCAACCTCGCCTACGATAAGGTGAGGGCAGTGGAACATGCTGTCCATCACAGTACATCGGGATGGTGGATCGCCAGGATGGTGAGGAGGATTCGGAAGCGATTCCGCCGCGATAAGGCCCAACCACTCACGAATCGGGAATGGGTGCACGGCTCTGAAGGCCCTCATCCGTGGTACTACTGGGAGACTCAGACCACCTTGTAGACAGTTCGCTTGCCATCTGCCAGATGTATGCTTGTGATATAGTACTATAGATACATCACTACTTGCGTCGGTGCTTATGACTAAAGGATTGTAAGTTAGTCATACCAAACGCGACGACGATCAACGCCCTCGGACCGGCATAGACCGGCATACTGGAATCGTCGTTAATTACGGTCCGATCGGCGGAGTATGCTTCCGCGCTTCCGGAACCCGGCATCAACGTTCGTCTGCAATTCATCTGCCATCGGGTCCTTCTCTGGCCGTAAGTAGGCTATGCCATGATCGGTCTGTGAGTTCACACTCATGGAAGCCCCATAATTGTCTCCGTTCTAGTCACAGTACCCTGTAGTGTGCTAGCTACACGCCTAGGTCATGTAGTCAGTACCAGTCGTTACGAACGACGAAACCCCCAAGTCAGCGTGCGACGGCCCCTGTGCGCTGTACGCCCTCTGACATCGGATATCATGTCACGGAAAGCCGCGATGCCTTTATTTGTCGTGACAGGTTGCCGGGCTTCCCATCACATTTGCACCATATATTGATCCCCGACTCCCAGAATTGCCCTGGGTAAATTCGGGGCGTGCATATCCCCGTCCAAATCCCGGTCCACGCCCTTGGTATAAACCGTCCGAGCGATGGCCGACCAGGGAGCGCGATTCCGAGAACGCCCTTCCCCATCCTCGTCATGGACCCTACCCGTGCGGCGAGCGTTCCCCCCCCTCTGGTAGAGAGCCCGACCGCCTTCGTGACCTCCGGCTCGGAAGGATCTAGCTTCTTCGGGAAACGACAGGGATCCCCCGTGCAACTGTTCGACGAGCGCCGGCCTCAACGCCAGGAATCCCATTGGGACACCCCGGACAGAGATTGGATTCCCGCTTTTCGTAGCCAACATCGAGAACACCGGAGGAGGCGGACTCTTATACTTTGTTTCGATGGCACGGGGGACTCTTTCGACGACGATAACTCTAACGTAGTCCAGTTGATATCGATGCTGAAAAAGGATGATGCGAACGAGGTGTGAATCATCTCATGCGAGGCATTCGTCGAACATTGACTGATGTCTTCGCAGCAAATGGTTTACTATCAGGTGTGATCCCTCGCCAGTACAATCGTACAAGTGTCTGAGCTGAGACGGAACATAGACGGGTATCGGAACTTACAGTGGCAATCCACTGTTGGCTTTGCCATTGGTTCAAGCTATCTCAAGAACATTAGACGAAATGGTCGCATGGAATCTCGGCCGTCATGTGAAAGGTTCGTTATGTTCGTCCGTATACAAATCCACACCCTCGCTTATTCGTCGCTGACAGATGGTTACGAGTTTCTCATGAACAATTGCGAGTGCTTTCCTGAATAGCAAGCTGACCTCTGGATCACTGAGATTTGCGACCTCTAGACAGCGCTGGCGACAAGATCTGCATATTTGGTTTCAGCAGAGGCGCGTATACCGCAAGGGCATTGGCAGGCATGCTGCAGAAAGTCGGACTGCTCTCGGCATTCAATCATCAGCAGCTTCCGTTTGCCTATGATATGTTCAAACGCGATGATGACTACGGTTACAAGATGAGCGTTTACTTCAAGAAAACGTTCTCAATCCCTGTCAAAATTGACTTCGTTGGCGTCTGGTGAGTCTGGTCCTTGTGGGTGGATATGACTGTGACGCGAGTATGCATATCAGGGATACTGTGGCATCTGTTGGGGTCATCCCTCGCTATTTGCCCTTTGCCAGGTAACCTATATGATACCAACAATCACATTTGAGTGCTGATGTATCTCTAGCACGAACACTGCGATACGGATCTTTCGTCACGCTATTGCATTAGACGAGCATCGCGTTAGATTTGTACCCAACTTCTATCACAGCGACAATGCGTCCGATCCGCACATAAAGCACGAACCCCGCCGCCAGAGTACCTCCGCTCATTTAGAAGCTGAAGAGATCAATCGTTCGACAGGTCAGGTCACTGACACCAAAGAAGGCACGTGTAGCCCATGTCATCGTCAACATCACCTTACGAAAGTAATGTAGTGTTCTTCGCCGGTGCACACAGCGATGTAGGTGGGGGGTCTGTCAAGAACTTCACCGTGAGAGACATTATTCAATGGTGCTTTTCTTCTGATTTGAACGCAGCCTCTAGCGTCATAGCCTGGCACGCATTTCACTGCGATGGATGATCCGGGAATGTTTCAGTACGTTTAGTACCTCTGATTCCCTCGTGTTATCCAGCCTGATCTAGTCTGTTCACAGGGACCGACACCGGCATCATATTCGACGCTGTGAGTAACGCCGCTATCATATGTCTACTTGATCTTGAACGGCATATCGAAGGAACTGTTGCGCGATGTGTTAGGCATGGACGTGGATCGTCTGAGAGACGGTGACATGTCCGAACCACAAAGGATCAGTCCCAATCCCAAGGACCCGCTACAAGTCATTATGGCCAGCGATGAATCCCCTGGATTCTGGTCTGCCCTCTGGGATTTATGCTTTGGCACGATAGCAGCACCGCTCTACATCATCTGGAACATCTTCTCGTGGTTAGCAGGTCGACCAACGATCGAGTCGGCAAACAGAGCCGCCGCCATGGTATCCCGCCGTGAACCGTGCGTTCGGAGCATGAAACAGAAGTCGTACGAAGGGGAAGCAATCGAGGAGTTGCATGATGCCCTTTCCCCCATGTACGACCAGATGGACAAGAAACTTTTCTGGCAAAGTGCGTTTCTACACGTCATCGTGACTACAGAGAATGACGATGCGTGTAGTGATGGAGTGGATCCCTCAGAAGGGCAAGCGCCAGAGAGATGTCGTCGAGGAGAATGACGTCTATGTATGGATGTACGATACAGTCATTCTATCCCAGATACAAGGCTGACACAACTGTATAGATTGAACAAGGGTCGCGGTCGCAAGATTTTTCGAGATATTATGAAACGTAAAATCCTTGTTCACCAGTCTGTCCTTACACGCTTGGAGGCCCTCGACGAGCAAGGCAAACCGGGGTCATACATCCCGCGCATCCGGCCCAACTTACATTACAAAGAAGCGCGAAAGGACGAGAACCGCCGTGGATGGACGTGGTGGCGGCATCTCCTCGAGCTATTCACTACAGACGTTGCCGAACAGCTTTCACATACCCAATGGATGACCGGAGCAGGCGATTGGTTCCATTGGGAGACATGGCATGCGCGCTCTGATGACAGGATCAACGACGACTAGCTGTACCGGTGGACTATGGGGAGTAAACATTTCGGTTTGTCTCTTGAATCCATACCACACATACAACAATTACTTCGTATACACACAATACATGAAACCTGCTCCGTAGTGATGATATGCGTCAGTGGCGGGCATGCAGGTTGGCTACAATTGCCGAACTGAGGTCGTGGCGTTTGCATAATCTCATTGGAGATTGTGAACAGAAATGCCAAACCCGGACGCAGGAGGGAATCATCATCAGATGGAGTTCGCGGGTGTCTCCCCGGTATCCTCGTGTCCAACAGTGGTATCTGGCCACGATCAGAAACGAGAGATTCTCGCGAGCTATCCGACGATAGTTTCCGTTCTTGCGATACCGCTTAACAAGGTGGCCTGGTTCGCAAACGCTGATGAAGGTTACGAAACATCTCCCCTGTGGAGGTGACTGGGCATACGCACATTCAGCTCCCTATTTTGAGGCAAGTTAACAAAATGCAGGAAACAGAATGTAAGAAAAGAGGGTGCTCACGTCCTGCCCACCCCATGGCATGGTAGGCTACTCGCGCAGCTTCTTCTTTAGCAAGCTGCTTGCTCGCACCAGTCCCCTGTCCCTTGAGTATGCCATTGACTACGACGATTCATGAGCGACAGTGCGCTATACTCATAAGTAGCGTGAAGTGTCATCGTACCTATGCACTTAGCCACCCATCGACCAGCGTGAGGCGGTCCTGTAAACTCCGCGGGATAATCGACTTGGAGACGTCGCTGAGACGCGGTCTGGTTGAAGAGTGGCAAGAACGGTGCGCTGGGCTGCGCAGGCGATAACGGATTAGGAAAAGGGGGTGGAGGAGGTGGCAAGTGAGGTGGGGGAGCTCGGGAGTCCTGCGTAGGTGTCCCGGCAAAGGCCATCGGTCGTCCGCCTATCGGTGGTGGCGCAGGCATGTTTCCATGCAACGAGGACAAGGGGCTGTATTCCATAGGTTCTTGTTTGATCGGAGGCGCTTGACCAAAAGAGAACTGAGGGGAAGCAGATGACGCCGACATCGACGACGGTGTTGACGACGCAGTCGTTTGCGGTGCATTACGTGGACCCCACCCCATGGCGTAAAACGCCTGTTGCGCCGCATCCTCCTTTGCTAGCTGCTTGCTAGGACCAGCACCGGATCCCCGTTCGATGCCGTTCACTGTCATATCCACATAGTGCATCAGTCATCGAATAAGGTTTTCTGCACAGCGTCGGCTCACCTAGACACTTGACGGACCATTTGCCGGCGTGCGATGGCCCGCTGAACGTGGCTGGCCACTCCACATTCACTCTACGCTGAGACGCAGTCTGATTGAACAGAGGCAGATAAGCCATCCCCACCTGCGCCTGCACCGGGGCAGGCAAAGGCGGAGGTGGAGGTGGCTGATAAGGCATCGAACTGTCACGCGGCGTCGGCGGTAGGGGCGCAGGCGGTTGTGGGGGCTCGGGGGGCGGCAGAAAACTAGCAAGCGGCTGAGGGGGCGGGGGTTGTGGAGGAGGTGAACTCATCATGGGATGCCCAGCAGGCGGAGGTGGTGGTGTGGTTTCTGAATAGTCCATTTTCATCCTCTTATTTTCAGCCGGACTATCAGTGAAGGAGATAGGAAATGTTGTGACATCCATGTCTGGATCAATCAGCCGGCCAATCCATTCATGGGTAATTCGAGGTCCTTTCTGAAACCAAACAGCACCAACGTAGGTGTTAAAGAGTATCTGAGATTCCTGGCATAGAGTTAGCTTGAAAGAATATGTAAAAGTGGTCATACATACCCTTGGGGTGTTAAGAGTGGACAAGGCATCTGGGGCACATCGTAGTTTCTCTCGAATTTTATATGCTGATAACCATGCATCCACATTGGCCTCAGATAGTATCTCATTTGTTTGAGCCTAGAGAGGTACAAAGAGGAATGAGATACCCTCCTCGCAATCATGATGCTGGTGACTGAGCTACCTCTATTTCGTCTGCCTTGAGCATTGGCTTCTTGCAGAACAGGCAGTTTGTAGTGATCATCTCCAGCACCTTTGCACCCAGCACAGCGAGCCGTTCGCTGTCTCCAAAATCATCATTCATGGGCGCACCGGGGAACCGCAGGGAACGATGTGTGAAGACTTCGAGGAAAATGTCGCCTGCAAGGTCCGGCAGCGGGGGTACTCCGTTGGTGTTCGCGGCCGAGCGCGACCGCTTGAGAGAGGCTGGGACAGGCGTCGCGGATGGTTTCTGGCTGAAGCGGGGAGGGAGTGCAGGCTCCTTGTACCCGATGTTCTCGGCGTAGACGTCTGGTCGGAGGACTGAGCGCTGAGCAACGGGCGAGTGTTGGGAAAGAGTGGACTGACCCATTTGCATTGTGGATCGACGTCTCGGACTTGGCGCTGGACCAGATCTACGGCTTGGGTGTCGTTGTCAGAGAGCAACCTGACTCGTAGATCGGGTCAAGCGCGAAGTCCGAGATGCGATACCGCAGAGTCAGCGACTGTCGCTCCTGAACAGCTCGAGGAGCCGTCGTCGGAAATTGCGATCACCTGACCACCGCGCGTCCCGTGCCTGTCGGCGTCTGCCCTCGTCCTTTCAGGTTCCTGCACGACCGCGACGACCTGCACGAGCTCAGCGCAGCGCCCTCCATGTCCGCCCCCCGCCCCAAGGCACGGCCGCCGCTCATCCCCGAGCGCTACATCGACGTGCCCTCCCAGCGCCTCTACGTTCTCAGTCTGGGCTTGCTCTGCCAAGTCCGTGTTCGCCGCTTCCACCGCATGCATCGACGTTGAACGCTCCTCCCAGGCAATCAAGATATTCGACTTGGCTCAGTATATCCTTGGATATGACCAGACCGGCTACCTCCAGAAATGGCTCTGGGTCGACTTCGCCTACTGCGTCTCCTTGGCACAGCTACGCATACCAAGGTGCGTTCGCTGCATACATGCCGTTGCCGCTTTTTGCTCATGCGGTCATGATCATTAGACTAAACTATTCAAAATCGGTCGTCGTCCTCCAAATCTTGTCTCTGTGGCTTCTCGACGGCCTGATGTTTGGTGGCATCCGTGTCAATGGAGGCGCCGACACAGCAGACGAGCTTTCACGTAATTCCGGTAGGCATCGATGCATAGAAATGGATACTGAGACCAACGCCCGACAGATCGAACGCTCGCTTCGACCCCGTCTTCGTTCGGGCTTTCTGACGTCTTGTCCTCGATCCCTGGTCTGGGCATGCTCGTTTCTCCTGGGGAGGGCGACAAACACCTCCTCGGTCAACACACTGTCCGGATGTCACCCATAAGCACTGCACAGCTGCATCTCGAGGGCCAGACGTTTTGTTTAGCGACGCCTGGTGATTCGGTTTTGATCCCTGTCTTGTTCAACAACTCCGAACCGACCTCCGTGCGGTATTCTCTCTCACCGCTTGGCTCTAGTGTCCAGTCTGGGAAAACGAAAGGCACCTTTTCCAAGCCAAAAACCGACGTCACGGAGCTCTCAGCAAAGGAACTCAAGGCGATTGAGAGCGCACGCGCCGAAGCATTGCAGCTCACTCGTTCAGTAACACGAGAGGTTGACGACGACGAGTATGACGACGACGACGAAACTGAATCAACGGAGGGCGATTTAAGGTCTTCATACTCCTGGCTGCAAACGTCACAATCCATCTTCCACATCCGCGTGAACAAGCCGGGAACACTGCGTCTCGAGCGCGTCGCACACGCTTCGGGAGTGGATGCACGACTGGCGTATCCCTCCGAAGTGAAGATCGCGCCTTGCCCGTCAGCCGAGTTTGTCGAAGACAACACCCGCATTGACGACACCATTCGCTGTGCAGGAGAGGACCCGGATTTCGACATAAAAATCCGCATATACGGCGTGCCTCCTCTAAGCCTGGGCTGGTTTCGTGAGACGAATGGCCAGAGGGAGTCATTTGTGGTTCAGGGCATCGAGGGCACCCACGAGGAGTCGACTGAGTCCCTGGATATGGCACCTCAGACCATCGAAGTCCCCTTGACAGTGTCTGTGGTAACACTTGGCACGCACCTTTATAGCCTCGAATCCGTCACCGATGGTCTGGGGAACCATGTGACGCTCAGGCAGCCACCAGCGATCACCAACTCGCGATATACGAAACAGATGACCGTCCTCCGGCGACCGAGCGTCTCATTCAGGAAATGTGCGCCTGGAAAACCTGCATATCTGCTGATAGGCTCGGAGGCATCGCTCCCGATTACAGCTCACGATGTTGACGACGTCGATGCCCCCCTCAGCGTGAAGATCAGATTTGAACCTTCCGAGGGCGCAGGCAAGGTTGTAAAGCCCTGGACGAAGACCATTCTATCCCAGGATATGCCGAGAGATTTCCATCTTGCCGTCAAGGACGCGGGAACATACACGATCGAAGAGGTGCATGGTCGCTATTGTGAGGGCGATGTCCTGAATCCGGATGTCTGTCCGGTTGTCGAATTGCCAAAGCCAGTCGCAGAGATTGAATGGAGGCGGATACATGAATGGTGTGTGTTTGACTTGGCTGCAACATTTAACATGCTGATCCACCGGCCAGTTCTGGCGACACTGGTGTGGCCGCCTCCCTTGTTCTTCATGGCACTCCGCCTTTCCAAGTATACTATCGTGCACAGAGGGATCGTGAAACAGCACGCGAGCTCGTTAAGACATTCCAAAGCGCCAGGGGCGAACTAACCTTGCAACCGGAGCATAGTGGACATTATACCTACTCGTTCATTGCCCTCAGGTGCGTTCGTGGTCATCTACTCGAATGCTCTGATTCAAGTCTCATGGACCTGAAGTGATGCCAACTACAAGAGAGTGACCCTTAATGGCCCCAGCATCGACCAAACGGTGCATCCCCTTGCCTCCGTGGATTTCTCTCAACCGACCTCCGGCGGAAGGAAGAGGCAGATTAGTAGCTGTTCAGGTCATTTGGTCAATGTAGATGTGGAACTCAAGGTGATCTCGGTTTTGTTCCTGCAGTCAGTGTTGTGGATCCAAGGCTCATACATGACAGGGAACCGGACCATGGACAGTCGAATATCAGATTGTCAGTGCTACACGGACCGATACTATCACAGCTACCGGCATCCAAACATCAAAAGCTTCTCTCGAAGTTCCAATTCCCGCATCTGTGGATACGGAGGGAGGTTTTTTCAACATAGACTTGGGTAATAACGATACTATGACACCTCCACCAAACGCATGCTCACCTCCCCTTCAGTCAGCGTTGAAGACTCTTCCGGTTGCAAGCGTACTGTATCAGTACCAGGCATTACGGTCAACGTGCGCCGAGTCCAAGTACGATTAACCTTCTCTTGGCTGGCACTCGAGTGGCTGACAGGTTGTGCGTAGCCAACAGTCAAGTTCTACGGTAGAGACGACAAGCGGCATCTCACGGTCCTGGAGCGCGATCTCGCCCGTTTGCCCCTCAGACTCACGGGTGACGGGGTAAGTCATCCCGATCGCCAGGATGCCGGTGCATATACTGACACAACGACACTGTTTATCGTGGGAACAATAGCCTTGGCGTGTCGAATACCGGCTGCAGGGAGAACCGGAACGCATTCGAACAGCGACTGTCTCGGGGCCTAATGATTATCTGCAGGTCACTGAACCTGGCACTTATGAGCTTTTAAATGTGCGTCCTTGAGCTCAGAGTCATCATTCAATATGGTTGACAATTCGTTCAGGTCCGAGACTCGCAATGCCCTGGGACCGTACATGCAAATGACGCGACGTACGCTGTTGACTGGGTACCGCGACCTTTTGCGGCATTGGCCAAAGGGACTGAGGCGACGTACGAAGCGTATAACGGCTCATATATCTTGCCTCCCGTTTGCGAGCATACGCCTGATCACATTGATTTGGACCTGACTGGTGCGCTAGCTACCGCAGCTCTCGAATTCGAACTGATCAATCCGACAAAGGCCGACCACCGTTCGAGATTACATACAACATTGCCCGTCCAAGCGACATGGGAGGCAGCGTCCTTATTGGCCAACCCACGTTCAGCAGTATCCAACCGAGCACGCGATTTCAATTACTAACATCGGACGCTGGCCGCATTTACTACGAGGTGAAACAAATCGGAGATGCCGCATATCCTCTAGAGAAGCACAAAGACACGACTATACCCCGAGCATCCAGACTGCTCTTTGAGCAGGAAGTTCTCCGTCGACCCTCGGCTCGTTTCGAGACCACGAATCGGATGTCTCACTGCTTGGGCGATGCTTTGGTTCCTTCGGATGCGGCCAGCGAAGGCGTCATTGTCCTGGAAGGAACTCCTCCTTTCATAATGAACCTCTCCGTGCATAATTTGGCGGCAAGCGAGATTTCAAAACATACCATCAAGATTCGCAGCAAGATTTGGAAGGTTGAAATTCCCGATTACCACTTCAACACCATCGGACCCCATAGGATCACCATTGACAGCGTTCAGGATGCGTCTCATTGCGAGCAGGTGGTGCTGGACCCTTCATCTCAGTCAGCCATGGTCGATATCGTTGAATCAGCCGCCATTGTGCCATTCGACCGCAAAGAGCACTATTGTGTCGGTGAGGTGTCCCAGTTCCAATTGGAGGGCATCCCGCCGTGGACTATCGGGTATGCCACCTTCTCTATCAGATTACAACGTGGTTGACGTAGACACTAGTTATCGAATCAATGGCAAATCGCACAGCCAAAATGCGATTGTGTCGCCTTTCTCACTGGTACAACAACAGCCGGGGGAGTTTGTGGTAACATCCATCGCACATCAGCAGCAGATGTGCAAAACCTCTGTGGCCGATCTACGCTACACCGTACATCCCTTGCCATCCGCTCAGGTTGGACATGGCAAGCGAATCTTGCAAGATATTCACGAAGGTATTGACGGATAATGTTCTTGTGACATCTCGCTCACCGTTGGACTGTTCCAGGCGATCAAGCGGAGATCGTCTTTACACTACTGGGCGAACCGCCGTTTACCTTCACGTACCAACGGGCGGAAACCGTCAACGTGAAGAAGGCTGGGCGGCCCGGCAAGGTACTCGAAACACACACAGTATCTGGCGTCAATACACACGAGTACTCGATCTTCTCCGCTTCCGAAGGTCGGTCCATAACTGCGTTGCTTTCGTTTTCGTGGATCACTGACCGCTCCGTCTCAAGGAACGTGGACCGTTACCTTCATAGCGGATCGCTACTGCCGTTATCCATTTCAGGATTCAGTGATCAGAGCTTGACGTATCATCATCATCTTTCTGTCTATTTACCAGAGCATTCAGTGTAGCTTTAATTGTCACATAATCTTGCATTACACGTGGATTACACGTGGACCGAACATCGTAGTCAAATTGTCATAGACGATGATCAAGCGTTGGTTGCCGCCTCCTTGTCCTGAAGCACCTTCTTGATCGATGGCACTTCCAGTAGCCTCTGGTGCCAGCTGTATGGCGAGAAAGCAAACAGTCAGTTGCCAGGATGTTAAATAGAGACAAGAGGCACCCACGCATGCACACTGGGAAAATCTCTAGCGAAGTCGAAGTTAAGGCTCTCGTTCGAGCTTACTATCGCTAAGGATAAATCAAGGTTAGTCGTTCGCGAGCGCCAGACGCCTTCTGCAATGATTCTCACCGATGCCATAGATGTTCCAGCTGTTGTATGGAGGTTGAGTACTTCCAGGGCCTACGGTCAGGTAGACACTCACACAATAAATGAGATGTCGGCGATAGTCATCTTCCCTCCGACCAACCATTCCTGCTTAGAGAGCACGCTCTCGAGTACGCTGAGGACTCTGATTATCTCCTTCTGGTATCGCTCGACAGCACTTTGGATCTTCTCCGGGTGATATTTCGAGAACCAGATAGCTTGGCCGTAGTAGGGGCTGCAAGAATTGAGCATGTCACAAACACGTCACAAACACGGTCGACCTCGTAGCCCTCACCCTTGGCCGGATGCCTGGAAGTAAAGCCATTGATTCTGTATATGTTTGTCAAGACCGGTGACTGAGATCTTGTTATCCGTGTCGTAGGTATCCACGAGGTATTGCAAAATCGCGTTCGATTCCCTTTCATGCATTTGATTAACCATGCAACGTGCAGACAAGGAAGCCATCCTCACCAAAGAACGAAATCGCCATTCTTGTGATCGATCAGGGTGGGGATTCGGCTGCATTTGCCGTTGAGTATCTCCTTGATCCAGCATTTTAGACAGCGCGTAAATACCCATTCGGATTCAACTTCGTGTGCTGCGGCGCCTTCTGCTCACCCTTCCCGAAGTCCAAGTACACGGGCTCATACGTGAAGCCAAGGAGCTCGATGACAAAGGCAACCTTCCTGCAGTGAAAGCGGGAGATTAGCACACCCGATCGCCCTCACTGGTAACCATAACCCACCATCCGTTGGGTCCACCGAGGTGAGTGTACAGGGTGAAGTCCTTTCCTGCCATTCTGAGATATGGGCTGCCGAGGAAATCCGAAATGCGAGCTTTGAGTCCATGCCGCAACACGGCCCTCTTAAATATATGTGGCCGGTGATTGTATGATAAGAAGACACCCTCGTGGGAAGCCTTAGTAAAGCGACGACTCAGGGAGCTCTGCATGGGGCGACGGAGTTCCGGGTCGATACGTGGCTCCAATAGCTGAAGCTAACTGACTGCAGGCTTCAGTAAGTACGAGGACCATGCGATGCAAAGTACGTACGTGAACAACTAGGATCGCTGACTGATCAATAGTCCAGCAGGGTTGATTCAGCCGGTTGCACCATGCAGATTTGATTCGAAATGCAGGCGTATCTCTGTAAACGTTCATCCACTGAGTGTCATCCGAATTGTAAGAAGCATCCTGCAAGCACGTCACGCTTTGCGATCCGTTCAGCGACTCTCTCAGAGTTACTATCTTCTCCATTGTATTGAGCTCAACACCTTCCCATGTCCGCTATATAAAAACGTGCATTGGTCACTGTAAACGATGAACCATGTTGACGGTAGCCCTTCTCAATCACACGGGTCTCTCTGGTGCCCGTCCATCTCGCCAGTAATAGTTCACTAAACTTCACATTTACCCGCTTGCTACAGCGGGCGATGGGCGGCCGTAGTTGAATCTCGCCGAACGTCATTTGTTGGCGTTGTGGTAGAGCTAGCAACCGAAGATATGCCCATGCTCCTCCGGTGCCCCGTTCATGCAGGAAATCAACGCATGAACCGAAGGCAGCTTCATTCACCACCGGGTTCTGAAGAACCTTCGGGGTACGGGTTCGCACGTGGAACGCTCTAGCGATGTGGATGAGGCATCGACGGTGGCTTGGGTGATAGCGGCGCACATAGAGTCAAGCTTGCCCGATGGCGCCTCCCATTGAGATGAGCATCGGACCAGATCACACCGAAGTGAAAGGTGTGCAGTTCCGGGCAGTATCCACGGTTTGTTCAATCATATCCACTCAAGATCTCACATGTTACATCTTGTTGGAGTCTGGGATACACGCTCAGCTTCCACGATACGTCGTATAAGAGTACGGACTGATCAACAGCGGGATATGATAATGCTCGTCGGTTTGTCCCACATTGAAGGTGATCTAGAAGGGTACGGCATGTCAGTCACAAAGACACTTGTTGAGACCAAACGTACCTCGACCCATGGATAAAAACAGCGCCGACCATCTCGCTCGAAGTACTCCCGCGTATGGAAGACAACCTTGTACAGCGTATCGGGCTTGAGGGAAAACTTGTTGTTTCCATCGGCAGTGTTGATACCGGTTGATGCGGGGAGGAGATTCATACAGCGGCCGTCCGTGTCGGTGGTTCTGCCAAGAAAGCGGATGTTGACCGATTGCACCAAAGCAACGAAGGGGCGCTTACCCCTCCGCCAACGGCTCGAAAAGCGACATGCCATCTTGCACCCGATGATGTTCTTGCACACGAACCTGGACGCCGGACGCCGGCTTCCCTGTAGACGCGTCGAGAACTGGATCACGGTGAACGACCTGTGCCCGCCGATGTACACATGCTGCAGACCGTGGCAAGTTATCGCGGACTTGTGCGACATCGCAATTCGAGGGTGTTCTGATACGATCTTCACGCAAGTTAAACGGCAACACTTGGGCGGCAGAATAAGCGACTGCTGGGCACCTCTGCGTTGTATTTCTCACAGTGTCGATCCGGGGCAGTTGTCGCCGACCGCTGGGACGGATAGACGAGCACTAGTCAAGCACACCGCCAGGTTGGACCGTTCATCGCTTTCATCGCCCGCCTCCTAGCGTCACACCGCCCTGGTCGTCATTCTACGCGGGGACGTCACGTGTGGTCCGCGTTATATGCACGTTCGCCGCGATGCAGGGACCGCATCCTGCTTTCGGCCCTCGCTCTCTGCGCTCGCTCTCCATATCCTCCCATTTTCTCGCTATTATAAACTTCACGTTCACGACACGATAGTAATGTCTTACGATCAACTTTTGAAACGTTACGAGGCCGCCGGCCAAGGTCACCTACTCGACTTTTGGCCCAAGCTCTCCCAGACGGAACAGGCCGCGCTCGCAGCCCAACTGGAGGCGCTTGACATAGACAGGGTGAACCGCATCTACAAGCGCGCCGTCGATGCGGAGAAGGAGCTTGCGGACCCTGCACACGCTGCGGAAACCATCGAACCACTACCAGAAGATGCGTTCGAGACCGCTGTCGGACAGCTCGAGAAGGAGAAGTCGTGGAGAGAAATCGGCTTGAAGGCAATCGCAAACGGACAGGTGGCCGTGCTTCTTATGGCCGGCGGGCAAGGAACGCGTCTGGGCAGCAGCGCTCCGAAGGGTTGCTACGATATAGGGTTGCCGTCCCACAAGTCGCTCTTCCAGTACCAGGCGGAGCGTATTGCTCGTTTGCAGGTCGTCGCCCAGGAAGAATGTGGCAAAGAGAAGGGGTCGGTCATCATCCCTTGGTATATCATGACCAGTGGTCCAACGCGAAAGGAAACCGAGGGATTTTTCACAAAGCATTCATACTTCGGCTTGGATCCCAAGCATGTTATCTTCTTTGAGCAAGGTGGGACCATCACCCTCCTAGCTTATGGGCAGTATTGACGCCTCTGTTCCAGGTACCCTACCGTGTCTAACCATGGAGGGCAAGGTGTTGCTCGAAACCCCTTCTCGTGTGGCTGTAGCCCCAGATGGCAACGGCGGACTGTACGCTGCAACGACTGCTCCTATCTCGCCTTCAAACTCCTCAACCGTGTTGTCGGACCTCAAAGAGCGCAAGATCCAATACATCCACGCGTACTGTGTCGACAACTGTTTGGTTCGCGTCGCGGATCCGGTGTTCCTTGGCTATTGCATCGGCAAGCAGGCCGACTGCGCCGCGAAGGTTGTTCCAAAGGCCTATGCTACAGAGTCTGTCGGTGTTGTCGCCCGTCGCGGACAGAAGTTCAGCGTCGTGGAGTACTCGGAGATCACCAAGGAGCAAGCCGAGCGTCGCGATGCGGCAGGCGAACTCGCTTTCAGGGCGGCGAACATCGCCAACCACTTCTACACCACCAGCTTCTTGGATTCGGTTGAGACGTTTGAGGACCAGCTGGCATTCCACATCGCGCGCAAGAAGATTCCTTACGTCGACTTGCAAACCGGAGAGGTCGTCAAACCAACGAAGCCGAATGGCATGAAACTCGAAATGTTCGTTTTCGACGTGTTTCCATTCACAAAGCATTTCGCGGTCCTCGAGGTGGCACGGAACGAGGAGTTCAGTCCGCTGAAGAATGCCCCAGGGACAGGCGCAGACGATCCGGACACCAGTCGAAGGGACCTACTTGCTCAGCACAGACGATTCCTAGAGGCTGCGGGTGCTCATGTGGAGAATGGTGTAGAAATTGAATTATCACCGTTGGTGACATACGCTGGAGAGGGTCTTCAGACGGTTGAGGGCAAAACGTTCACTCGTTCTGGATGTGTGTCGGAAGTGCACGAGCTGGACACTCTAGTGTAGACACGGATTAACGGACCGGATTAATACCTTCTCTCTTGTCTTATAGGATGTGACATGGACGGTCGAGCTCTTGGTCGAAAACATGGCTGCTTAGCCAACAGGGTTGTGTCAGGTACAGGGGTCATCCTACAGGACCGTCACCTATCTTCGGCCGTTTTTCCAGCTCTTCCCGCAACGTCGCGAACAGCCGTTGCATTCGGTCCTGATTGGGCTGCCGCGAAGTTCAGTACATTATAAACGGGCCAGATATGGAACGCACCTCTTGACAACATGCCATGAGCTTTTCAATCAGCATATTCTGGCCAGCAGACACATCGTCGAGTTCCCTCTGCAGCTTCACGCTCTATACATGATTCGTAAACATGAGCCCGCTTTGAATTCATAAAAACTCACTTCGTGCTCGAATTTGTCCGCTCTCGTCTTCTCTTGTTCAGCGAGTTGCTTTTGTTCTGCTGCTCGTGCGCGAGAGAGCAACACCTCGAGCTCCTTCGAGCGTACAACACATTCGAAGTGTCGTTCGCGTAGCTCATACTGCTTCAGCACGTCTTTGAGCCGTTCCCGTACACTATACCCAGCGCAAGCGATGATTAAGAAAAACTACCATCGATAACAGTAAGCACCTACACACTGTCGAATATCTCTTCCATGGCTCGCTTCGCTCTGGATGCGCAATCAGAATATTGTCTGCGTTCCTGACGTGGGCTTACTCTCGTGGATTGTCTGTCCAGTTCTTCTTCAGCTTCTGCCGTCGGATTTCAATACTGTCATCCTGTCGCGCATGGACTTTAATATCACATAAGCAAGTGCGCCATGTTCAGACCCACGAAAACGTCCAAATCCGGGCCTTCGGTGAGGTCCATCATCTCCACGGCATATATCTCGTCGCCATCGTCGATACCGGCCTCCTCGGGAGTCATGTCCGACTCTAATGTTCGTCCACCATGAGTGAACATGAATTGCATGGTGGAACTTGTGGAGGAGTTCAGCGTGTGCAAACTGGCAGCATCAGATTTGACGACTCCATTAGGTTGCACGGGTGTGGCCGCGGAGTTTTTGTCGCCTTGCTTCGCCGTCAGCATTGCGTTTAGGCCCTCCATACGTTCGGTCCAAGCGTTGAATAAGCGGGAAAGCTTCGTTTTGCGAGAGATCTTGAAGAACAGCTCAGCGCGGTACTTGCACAGGACCTTGACCACGATGTCGGGTTGTTCTCTGTATTTGATGTCCTGAAGCTTGGCTTTCTCTGCACGCTTGGCAACATCGTTCTTCATTTGTTGGATCTGTGGAAGGACTCTTCAGTGTGCGTATAGAATCAACACCCAGGTCGGCTGACTTCGTCCTGAGCCTCCTCCACCGACTGTGCCAGTCGTTTACTATCCTCCTACAGAATCGTTATCAATGCTGCAATAACGAATATATTCATGCCCCACTCTTAACCGCTTGTTATCCTGGAAGGGGGCGTTAACAAGTTCTCGACCACTATAATATCCTAGCGCACCTTCTGCAACTCGCGAGCAAGGTTCTCCATCTTCGTTTTGGTCTGATTCGCCTTGGTCAGCTGCCCTTTGGCTATCCAGCGTGCAGACATTCAAGACTTGCTAGTCATGAAGCGGGCAGCGACTCACCAGCATCTTTGTCTTTGACCAGTTTCTGCTTCTCCTTGGCGAAGTCGCGTTCCATACGCTTCAACTCTTGGAACTAGTCCATGTAGTATAAATCTGCATGTATAGCATTGTACTAACATGGGACGTACAAGCTGGACATACTTCTCTTGAATGGCACTATCATCCAAGCCTTTCACTGACTTCTGCGCTTCCTCCACTGGGGATCCAGGGTTCAGCGAGGCCGCCAATCAACAGTCTATTCCACTCCTCACCAAATTTCTTCTCCTCTTCCACGCCTTGAACAGCATCCTCTTCTAATACCGCGATTCTGTTCTTCAGGCTTTCATACATTTGTGCGGGGTCAACGGGTGGAGGTTCGGCTTTCTTCTTGTTCGTCTTCGTGGGAGGCGGATGGGTTCCATTGGTAACTGGCGGCGTGCCGTGCTTTCCCGGGGTGAGCTGCGTATTGCTTGGTGGGACAGGAGGCGCTACAGCAGGGGCCGGAGGTGCAGGACCGGAAGGCGGTGGCTTTGGTGTAACGCGGGCTGCAGTCGTAGACGGACCGTTCATAGCTGGGCCCTCGGAGTAACGAGAACTGGACGCAGCGGCGCGCTTTCTGAATGGGATACAGCAGAATATCTTGAGGCACAACGGCGAGTGAAGTAGCAGGAGCGTCGCGCGAGCCACGGTCGGTAATAGAACAACACCTCGGCAAATCCCTCTATATCTCGTCACGCTTGTGGCCTTTCATTGTTCAACCACGGCGTCGCTAGTCCAGTCCATTGACATACGACTACTGTACAGGCTGGCAAAACCCTTGGAATGCATATCAGATCCCTCCGGAGACTCAGCGTGTCTTCGTCCATCTCGTTTGTCTCGTCGTGCTTAGATATACAACGGAGTCCACTCCTGGGGCCATCCAAGCCTTCTGTTGACTTGGCTGTACGTTCGTCACCTTCCACAGGAACGGTGGATGTCAGGCATCTGCACCAGAGAGCATGCAGGATACACACAAGAAATGTTTGACCTTCTTTCAGGCACCCAATGCTCTCGCCGTCTTCGCTACGTTCCAATGCCATCGCGCCCCAGACCGTCATTTGTGCCTTGCGGAGTGGGTTATTTCGCTCGCTTCGCGCGTCGGTAACCTCGATCACCCGGAAATCTTTTACGTTGCGCGGAGGACAGAGATCCTGTTGAACGATAAGGTTGTGCGTACAGCGCCTGTCGCGACGTTCACCTTTAGCTCCTGTTCGATGTCTTCGCGAGACCGATTGCGTTCTTTGATGCTTTGTTCTCTGATGAAACGAGCAAGCCAACCAGCCCCACGGGCACCTAGATTGTTGATCAACGACGCGGGATCTGCAGCAGCTTCTAGTTTTTCCCAAAGGGCCTCCAAATAATCGAGTTGCGAGTCTGGATGGATGAGCGAAACGCCTCGTGCTGTGCTCGACATGTTCGCTCACCGTAATCATCTTGACGGAAGGTGTCGCCTGCCTTTCTCTCGAGGCGTTCGACCCACCCGGAGAGCCTGGAGAACCGCTTTTCTATACCCTCCAGAAGCTTTAACTCCTGATCCGATCGCCGCATCTGCACGACACCGAACTCGAGGATTGCTTTTACGTATGATCAAATGGACAGCGTTACCTCCCATCGTTGCTGAACTTCGAGTTCATCTTTTTCACATCGCGGACCTTCTCTCAATTGTTGACCGTCTTCCGTCTCTATGATTTCTAAGAAACCGAGCGGAAAGACCTGCAAGAATTGTATGGACAGTATCAATCACGTAAAGAGATGCACTCACCTTCGTTACAGCGACGTGCAGCACGGGTATGGGACCGCCATCTGCAGTTAATTTGTGTAGTCCGACGATGCATCGGTCTTGTTTGAACCCGAGTTTAGCGTGCCAAGGCGCCATTCGGGAAGAGTTGCCGAAAAGCTCCAGATGAGTTGAGTTATATGCTTCCAAAACCTCGCAAGGCTCCCGCTTTGTAGACCGTAGCTGAATTTCTGGTTAGCGATCTGCACCGAGCAAAACGATTACGATCTCACTTTTGCACCCACAACATCGAGTTTCCTTCCAACTCTGATCTTGCCTTTGCGAATGGCCCGCGCTAGGGTATCGTCGACTTGTGCACGGAGTCTGTACCAGCCGTCCGTGACCTCCAACTCTGGACGCGGAGGAATGAGTATGCCATCCTCCCTGAGACCTCTGTCTTCCCATGAAATGTTGGATACGCATAGGATCATCGGTGCAGCTGACGGAGAGTCTCGGGTAGTAATGAGACGTAACGGAGGGCGTGAACCTCCATTCAACTCGCGTTCGTACCTTTCAACTGGATATCAGTCTAGATATCGTTAACTGAACCAATTACTCACCTGTACAGTAGCTGACGCATCACCTCTCTCGGACACCACCTTCTTGTACCCGATTCTCTTTCTTTATCGGGATCCAAACACACCATTCCAGCGAGCTTCCACAGTATCAAGCTCCAATGGTTGTCTACCCATGGCTTAGTGGCCAGGGAACATCCCATATGCACGAGTTCTTCGAAGGCATCCGCAGTACCATATGTCGATTGCGTCTGAGGTGATACGTTCGACTGGAACGTACGAGGAGAGGCAGAAGTATGGAAAGAGTAATGCAATGCCGTAGATGGAGTTATCTTGCTTAATTCTTCCAGGTTTCTGTGACAACATGAGTGAATGCTCAGATTAAACACCGCCCGGAATGGCGTACATCCCCATGCCGTTCAACTGCTTGGAGGTGTAGGACTGTGGTTGCAAACCAGAAGATTCAAGAGGCCGCCTCGCTCTACCGTTGCCTGACATAGACAGGTAAAACATAATACTTTGAGGGTATGACCAGCCACTTACACAAATTGAAGTATCGCGATTCCACTTGCGCCCCCCTCCTGCAGTCTCTCGTGGATGTACTCGCCGTGAGTTTAATATGCGGCGAGGCTCCGGTTGAGCGATCGCGGAGCTGTTCACGTTCTTTCTCCAGTTGTATTCGAGCCGGCTCTCCTGGTCGCATCCCTGGCTTGAAAGGCGTTGCAAACTGTGCCTTCGGGGGTCCACGACGTGGTGTCAAACCCAGTGATTTCAAAGGAGTACCCGTAACGATGGTCGAAGTAGCATATGGCACACGCTTTCGGACGGCCGTGGCGGTGGTAGACAGAGCGTCCGGCTGCGTATGGAGTCCCCGATTGGGGTTAAGAGGGGACCCCGATGGTAGTGGCGAATTGGTGCGTATTAACAGAGGCGATTTGAACGGCTTCGTCTTCATCTCAAGTCTCGGCTGACGAAGCGTCATGTGAGGAGAAGCGGGTTCATCTCCTAGCATCGTATTCGCTCCTGAGAAGAGAGGTTGGAGGTGATTAACCGGGCATGGCGTGTCGGAAACGAGACAGGTCGCCCGCAATGAGCCTTCAGCGGAGCGAATGGTCGGTCGAGGAGGTGTTTGCATGGCATCGAGTAGCACATCATCAGCTAGCGCCTCCGAAGGATCTAGAGCATCTGCATCAACGGAATCGAGATCTTCACTCCATGACTGCATGAGTCTCGCCGCCCGTTGCATGGCTTCCTTGGATGGCATAAGTAAACCAGAGCGTGCTGTGGCGAAGAGCCCGAGAGATTGGTGGGAAGCATTGCTGGCTGAGGCAACTGAATCAGTTCCAGCCCTCGTGAAGCCAGCCTGAGGTGATACAACACTATGGTGAAGAGTCATGTATGGAGATGATAATGACGCGGCCTTCGAAAACCCAGCATGAGCACTCGCAACTGATGCACCATTTTTCGAGGCACTCGTTGCCTGACTAGCAGCGTTGTACGTTGAGTCAGTGTCAGTGGCTGCGTCGATGATCCCATGTAAGCCGTCCGTTTCTCCTTCAGCAAGAAGGGCTGACGCCTTCGAGAAGCTTACGCCTCGAGGTCCGCCAGTAAAAATGGTAGCATCGGGCCACGAGTTGGAACCTCTTTCATGCATCGCATCAGCAGAGAACGATGGCGCATCCAGTTCGGACTGAGTATGTGATGATAGCATAGAAGCTTTCGTGAACAGCGCCGGAGCGAAGGTCTGCGGGCTAATGTGGGGAGTGTCCTGGGAGTTCGAGTTATGGCTATTGGTTTCTCCTGATATCCAGGATAAGGAAGAGATTAAGCTATGAAGCCACAAAGCAGGGGGGTTTGAGGGGGAGGTAGGACTGCACGTACCGAAGTATGCGCTGGCGATATGTGGGCCAGTGCCCTTAGGCCCTGAATCCAGCCCTTGAGAGTATATGATCTCTAACTTCTCGGCTGTCTGACACATCTGGTCATCAAATCCCTCGAGTTGTCCGTCATAAGTCGGTGATGACAACCGCTGACGCTTGCGAGCCGGAGAGCTAGAAGGAGACCCTAAACCACAAATCCACTGCGCTAAGCCTCGTTGCACAAGTAACTGGCAGAAAAGTTGGCTTACGCAAGAATGACATCGTATCGGGTGCGCCGTGCAGGTACAAATTGCCCAAGTCTCTTGGATGCTGATAGGTTAGCGTGAAAAGATGGATGGGAAACCGCTTGCCACCCAAGGCGCGAGGCCTGCGACGCGTCGTTGCAGTAATCAACGAGCACGCGTCACGATCACATGACACGCGTTATATATGTAAGGTAGGGCTCATTCATATATAGCCACTATCACGCGCTCAGACCTGTCACGCTATGGAGACTTTTGGCGGGGGAACGGAGATGGAGCGCAGGCTCCTAATACCATCCGCTCGTACCGTGTCTCGCTCCTCAATCCTATGGGCGTGGGCGAGGCTGCATCCTAGAGGATGGGAGTTATTATCCATATTAAGATATGTATTATGTCAGATCCAAATCGGGAATAGGGACCTTCCTTTTATATCGGCGTAAGTGAGGAGCGGACACGGTAGAGCGGCTGGCCAAACTCGACATTTCAAATTATGGCAAGAGCTCGGCAGACCTCGTTACCACCCAATATAGGGTCTCGGCTAACATTGATCTTCTCGCTCTTTTCGTAGTTTTAGTTTTGTGATGAATATAACTGTTGGGGCATGATACATCTTTCAGGGTAGCAGATCACTCTAGAAAGTGTTCCCCGGGCTTTGACTGCCGAGTGTATTCACATTAGTTTTCCTCGACGCGTCCCCACCGGAGCTCGCGCGAGAGGTCGAGCACGGGCGCAAAGATGTGGGTGATCCCGAGCCCCTCCGCCTCGTCCGAGATGCTCGCGGCCGCTTTTTGTAGGAGATCGGTGTTCCAGGAGGCGGCGAGACCGAGGGGCGAGGGCCAAGTCGTGCCGTTGTCGGTAAAGCCGTGCAGGCCCTCCGAGTCGACGAGGGCGGGGATGCCGAGCGTGATGTTGTGCATGAGGTAGTCTTGCGCGGTCTGGATGGCGAAGACGAGCTGTGGAAGAGGGGATTGAGACCGGGTTGCGATACAGCCCCCCGGAAGGGAGAGAAGGAGAGAATGCGGACCTTGTTCCATGGGGTGAGGTAGCCGGCCCAGATGATGCCCGCTTTGGTGGCGAGCGAGTCGAAGAGGCCGGTCGCGTTGAAGACGAGGGTGTCGTCGAGCGGGTCGGTCATGTTCATCCAGCCGTCGATGTCTCCCTGAATCCTGAAGACGCATCACATTCGGTATATTGCTTGTCAGAGTTACGCG